CCATGCTAGCAACCGAAGAACGGGTCATGCTATTTTTTTTTTAAGTTATGATGTAAAGTCGGTGTAAAACAGGAAAGAAATAAATACATGTTTATTCAAACATTAAAGCAGTAAAAAATTAAGTTAAAACGTTGAAACAAAGCAAAAAGCACCCATAATTTCATACTAGCACGGTGTTCGCCTTTGAGCCCGTTCATCTGCACAAGTGGCTTATAGAATTGTTTACCGTACTGAGTGTGCATCGTCTTCATTGGAGAACAGGGAGGAACAAAACCAAAAGTCGTGGATGTTGAGGAACCCCAGAAAGAAAGGCGGCCATTCTGGTGGTGCTAAAGTCTCACTCCACTGCCGCCTTGGGGATCTGTGTCCACGAGGTCTGTCCGGCAGGCAGATGGAGCCAGTGGTGGTGACTTTGAGCTTTGGATTCACGTTCTGGCTCTGCCACGTAGCTTGTGTGCCTGGGCTAGTCACCTAACCCCTCCCGGCCTTTACTTGCTCACCTGCAAAATGGAGATCACAGTAGTACCTACTGCACAGGGTTGAGGGAGTTAAAAATAAAATGATGCGTATGAAGGACATAGCAACTGGAGTGCACAGAGGCTTAGTGAATGTCAGTTGATGGTAAAATAAAGTGCTTTTGATATTCTAGTAATTCGTCCTCCTGAGAGGAGCCACCTTATACCGAATTCAGTTATTTAACTAGGTAAGCACCATGGGGATTAAGGTTCTGATGGGAACCCCTAAGAAAACTCTAAACTGGGCGCCTGGCTGGCTCAGTCAGTAGAGCACGTGACTGTTGATCTCAGGGTTGTGAGTTTGAGCCCCACGCTGGGTGTAGAGATTACTTAAAAATAAAATCTTAAAAAAAAAAACAACTCAAACCAAAAAACCTTCTAAACGGATTTGAACAACCCACAAAGTCTGGGTCAGAATTTCCTACCAATCTGTGACATCTGCTTATAGAAGCAATTTAAAACCAGTGGCATCATGTGGTATATTCATACAATGGAATATAATTCAGTCATAGAAATGGACTAGGTACTGATACATGCCACAACATAGACGAACCTTGAAAACATCAGAAACATCAGCTATAGTGGGTGAAAGAAGCCATCCACAATAGACCACCTCTTGTATGAATCCATTGGTATGAAATGTACAGAGTAGGAACATCTAGAGAGACAGACAGTAGATTTGTGGTCATTGGTGCATAAGAGGGGTTGCCAGGAAGTAGGGAGTGATGACAGCTTGTGGGTACGGAGTTTCTTTCTGGGATGCTGAAAATGTTCTAAAAGTAGGTAGTGGTGATGGTTGTGCAACTCTGTAAATAAACTGAAGAACCACTGACTTCTACACTTTAAAATGAATGAATTGTAACAAACTGGAATTAAAATAAGAACCTTAAAAAAATAAAATGGATGAGTTGTATGATACAGGGATAATTTCTCAATAAATTTCTCAACCGACCAGCACTATGACTGTTTTGTGCTTAATGACCAATAAGCAGGGCTACTTTGAGTGAGTGAGTGATTGGGTCACCAGCCCCCGTGATCAAGCAGCCATAGAGCATTTGTTGAGCTCTCCGGGATGCCATGGGTAAGATGCACACAAGCCCAGGGTGTGGTTTTTTCCCTTAAGGAACTTGAGAGAGAGGTTAAGAATGGGGAAAATTCACTCTGAGAATTCTTTGGTTTGTTCATTGATTCCTTTACCACCTCATGAGTTCAAGTATTTGTTGAGCTCTTACTGTATATTAAACACCATTCTAAGTTCCAGAAATAGAACAGTGTGTCAGAGCTGACCAGTCAGTGGAATCAAATACAAAGATGTGTTTGCTTTATAAAAGAGAAGCTTTTTTTTTCTTCCTAACCATTACCTTAAAAAATAATAAGAAGAAAGCTCAAGAGACCCAAAATAGCCAAAGCAATCTTGAAAAAGAAGAACAAAGTTGGAGGACTTTCACTTCCTTGTTTCAAATTTTTTTTTAATTAATTAATTAATTAATTCATGAAAGTCAGAGAGAGAGAGAGAGAGAGAGAGGCAGAGGCAGAGGGAGAGAAGCAGGCTCCCCGCCTAGCAGGGAGCCCGATGCGGGACTCGATCGCAGGACCCTGGGATCATGACCTGAGCCGAAGGCAGACGCTTAACCGTCTGAGCCACCCAGGCGCACCCCTTGTTTCACATTTTACTACAAAGCGACAATCAAGATGCTGTGGTACTGGCATAAGGATGATAGATCAGTGGATCAGAATTGAGAGTTCAGGATATCAATTATATATCAAAATTGGGGTGGGGGAAGAATTGAGAGTTCAGAAACCCATACATGTATGGTTGCTTGAGTTTTGACAAAGGTGCCAAGACTGTTCAGTGAAGGAAAGAACAGTCTTTTCGCAAATGTTGCTGGGATAAGTGGATATCCACATGTAAAAGAACTAGGTTGGACCCCTGCCTCACACCATAAAGAAAAATCAACTCAGAATGGATCAAATTCTGACATGTAAGAGCTAAAAGTATAAAACTCTTGGCAAGAAACATAGGTGTGAATCTCTGTGACCCTGGTTTTGGCAATGGCTTCTAAGATATGACCCCAAAGGCACAAACAACAAAGGAAAACAAGAGATACAGTGTACTTCGTCAAAATGGAAAACTCGTATGCTTCAGAAGTCACCATCAAGAAAGTGAAAAGACAGTCCACAGAATAAGAGACCATATTTACGAGTCATATATCTGATAGGGACTTAGGTCTAGAATGTGAAAGAACTCTTACAACTCAACACTCCAACGACAACCCCATTTTTAAAACAAGCCAGGGAATCTGAATAGACGTTTCTCCAAAGAAGGCAAAAAATGGCCAAGAAGCTCGTGAAGAGGTGCTCATTGTCATTAGCCAGAGAAATGCAAACCAAAATAAAATAAGAGGATGATAAGAATTGAGGATGTGGAGAAGTTGGAACCTTTATGATTCACAGGTGGGATGGACAATGAGGCAACTCCTCCAGACACCAGTGGCAGTTCCTCAGAAAGTTCAACGTGAGTTACCACTCGACAGCCGTTCTACTTCTAGGTCTATACCCAAGGGAAATAAAGACAGGGCCGCACAAGAAGTTGTGCGGAAGTATCCATAGCAGTGTTACTCATGACCGCCAGAGGTAGAAACGACCCAGATACTCCGTCCACAGACAAACGGGTCAATGAAATGAGGTACCGCCATACCATGGCCTGTTACTTGGCCATACGGAAATGAAGTGCCCGCCCCTGCTACACCAAGATGCTGGCCACAGGCAGCCACGTGCTGTGTGATGGCCTTCCTACGAACTGTCCAGAATGCACACAGCTGTGGGGACAGAGAGTAGGTTAATGGTTGCTTAGGGCAGTGGGGGAAGAGGGTGCTTGCCTGCTTGAGAGGGAGATAGTTAAAGAGTACAGGATTTCTTTTTTGAGGTGATGAAAGCGCTCTCAAACTGGTTCGTGGCAATGGTGGCGTCACTGAATTTATGAAAAGCCGTGGAACTGCCCACTTTAAATGGGTGACGTGTGGTGATTTATATCTCAGTGGTGCCATTGCTGAAAAATAGAGTATTAAAGATGCTTCCGTATGGAAAATGAGATCCCAGACAGACTGGTGTTTATGCTGCTGTGGTACTGATGACTTTGGGGACTCCCGGGGCTCAGGGTGGCAGTGGTGGCTGTCACCCCGGCCTGATTGATACCCGTTGGGGCAGTTGGGGATGTCACAGCAGTAGTAAAATTCACAGATTTTCACTGCATTTTTGGAAGCATGTGTGAGAATTACTAATGAGAAAGAGGGTAAAGAAGGTTAGGTGGTGGCTTGATGGTTTGGGACCCTTCCCATGGCCTCCTCCCCTGCTGCTGTCTGGTGGCCCCGGGCCTACGGTGCCATCACGTGTCCCACTGAGCCCCACCTCAGTCCGTGCACACGCTGGGCCTGAGGATGCCACCGTATCAAGCCAGGTCCCGCTACGTGACCAAGTGGGACTCCTGCTAAAAGCCTTCCCTGGGTAGAAACAACACAGGTACCCGCCGGCAGGTGGGTGGATGGATGGGTGGTAACTGCATGCAGTGGGTTGTAGCAGGCAGCCGCAGAAGGCGGTGAAACTCCGACACATGCAAAACATGACCTTTGAGACATTATGCAGAGTGAAAGAAGCCAGACACAAAAGGCCAAGTATTGTGTGATTCCACTTCTGTCAACTGTCCAGACGAGGCGACTCTGTGGTGACGGCAAGGCGAGACGCGGTGACCCAGGGACTAGGGGAAGAAGAGTGGGGAATGGTTCTAGAGTTTCATCACCCTGTCAGGGCTGAGGGAGAGTCTTGCTGGTGGTGATGCTTGCACAACATTGTACTTAACAGTTTTATGTTATGTAGATTTTACCACAATTTAACCCTCCCCCACCCCGGGGAGTAAGTGGAGGTGTGGCAGGAACTCAAGGCATGGGATGGACCTCACATATGGGGTGTTCTCGGAGTTGAAATGCTGTTTGTATTTTATGGATAACAGTGCTGTCTGGGGGAAAGGGTAGGAATTAGAAAAAGCTTGGGGGGGGGGCGCCTGGGTGGCTCAGTTGGTTAAGCGACTGCCTTCGGCTCAGGTCATGATCCTGGAGTCCCTGGATCGAGTCCCGCATCGGGCTCCCTGCTCGGCAGGGAGTCTGCTTCTCCCTCTGACCCTCCCCGTCTCATGCTCTCTCTATCTCATTCTCTCTCTCAAATAAATAAATAAAATCTTTAAAAAAAAAAAAAAGAAAAAAAAAAAAGAAAAAGCTTGGGGGGGGTCTCTGTATGGCACCCGGGGTCCCCTGCTTGGAGCTGACCAGCCACACGCCGGGCTGGGTTGGGTCCATTTTCCAGACAGGGCAGTGGTTGGGTGAGGTTTGCACGGGAGAGGCAGGCCAGCCGGACGCTGTCAAGAGGCAGGCAAAGCGTGGGTCTTCCCATCACATGTGACCCTGATGTGATACCTGTTGTCTCCCTAAACAGAAAAGGGAGATTTCATTGCCCTGGATCTTGGCGGGTCTTCCTTTCGAATTCTGAGGGTACAAGTGAATCATGAGCAAAACCAGAATGTTCACATGGAGTCCGAGATTTACGACACCCCGGAGAACATCGTGCACGGCAGTGGAAGCCAGGTGGGTCCCCCCGCTCCCTTCTGATCAGCCCCAGCGGGCTCATACCTCTGGGAACCAGCCCCCCAAGCTCTGGTGTCTGAGCCCCTGGAAGGAGTCCCTCATAGGTCACATGGAGAGGGGCTGCTGGGTGGAAGGGTGTGACCATCTAAAGAGAGCCCACCGTCTGGGAAAATTGGTGCATGGGAGGGAGGCCACTGGGACTTGCACAGGCTGGAGGGTGTGAGGAGGGGGCCCGGCAGCTCTGTGGGTAAATGTATTCATTTCCTAAGGATCCTGGGGTTGGCTCCTCAGTGCAGGTTTCGCAGAGCCCTTGGGTGAAAACAGCCCTTCTTCCAAGTCATTGGCCTCCCCCGCAGCTCACCTGGAGCCCAGGCCTCACAGGGTCTGGCGGTCACCTTGTAGGGCATCAGGAATTTGAGCTCATGGCCCAAGCGCTAGTGAAGGGCTCCTGGCTACTGATTTAATAGCCTCCTGAGAGTCCTTGGTACAGAAAGGCACCATCCCCTTCCCTCACATCTGATACCTGAGGCCCATCCCCATGATGGGGCACCCCCCGGAAGGGCTGTCTTCCTTAGCTGGCCAAGGGGCTGTGGGCAGGATCGGAAGGGCCCATTGCCCTTGCCCCGTCCCTCTAGCTGTGGTGCGTGGTGGGGGTCCACGCTCACTGAGGACCCTGTGATCGCGGTTTCCGGTCGTTCGGGGTCCCGTCAGCCTGCAGTGTATGGGAGCTGCTCCTCCCGCTGTCAGAGATGCTCTGGCTCCTGTGGTCTGTAGCTCGCCTCCCGAGTCATGGTTGCTGCCCAGGATTTGTATTCCGAGCTTGCCAAATACTTGCTTTAGGAAGGGTGTGTTCACGTCAAGGTTCATGACTAAGTTCGCCAGAAAACTCATTTGTCCTGACCTGGACTTTGAGATGAGACCCAGGAGCCTTCTCCTCTGGACTCTGCTTTGTTTCTAAATTAATGTGGGTGGGGCCCGGGGCCAGCAGTTAATGTGGGTGGGGCCTGGGGCCAGCGCTCCACTGGTTTTGTTTTGGTTTTTTTTGGTCTGAGAGAAAAGGGCTAATCCCAGCCTTTCATCTGCTCCTGGGGGCTTGGGTTCAGAGCTTTTCCGACTGTGTCACGGGGAGCATTGAAGAAGGCACTGTCTCCAGAACGGATGAGTGTATCACTCATTGGATGGCCCTGCCTGGAGACTCCCCTGCTTTCCCCTCCTGCTGGGCTGCAGAAACCGGCCCATGCTTATGCATGCGGGCTGCTAGCTGCGAGGTCTCCTAATCCTGCCCAGTGGTTGCTGCATTATCCTTCCTGCAAGTAGCCAGCAGCCTCGAGTTGGCGTCCTGCTCTTTCCATCTGGCAGCAAGTGCTGACCCGTCACAGTCTGTTCTCCACGGGCCTTGGGTTGAGCCACCTCTGCTGCCTTCACCATCAGGACTGTCCCCCGTGCTGAGACATTCCTGTGTGCTTTGGCTTGACCTTTTAGGAGCAGGGTTTGTAAATTAAGGGGGTGCCCCCCAACAGGTGCACACTTGGCTATATATTCACTTCCACAGTGACTACTTACTGCGCCCCCGGGACCTCATCTGTCCCAGCCTCTGTCCCCATCTTCTCAGCTCCAGGGTCACTGTTTCCTGCTGTCTGTTTCTGCTCCTTCCCCTTTCAAGCAGTCCGCAAAGAAAAGGCAACAAAGGTGATGACAATGGCGGTAATGATGATGTATTATTATAGCAGTACTTCCACAGTGCTCGCTAGGTACCTGTCACTGACATCAGCACTTTGTATGGATTAACTCATTTCGTCATCATTCCCATTTTACAGATGAGAAAACGGAGGCTCATATGTTAAGCAGCCAGCCTGTTGGGTCACACAGCTCATAAATGATAGAGCTGGGATTTGCACCCACGTAGTCTGTTTCCAGTTGTTACAGTTTCAGCAAGGTGGAACCCTCTGAGCCTGGCTCTTGTCTTTATCGTCTTTAAAATTTTTTGATGGTGAAGAAATGTGAGGGCTGTGGGCAAGGAGGAGAGTCCAGCGGCTGAGGAAGAGGGTTGGCAGTTGAAAATAGGGATGAAACAGGAAGCTGTTCTTCAGAAGTTTGGTTTGAGGTTAGACATAAGTTTCAGGGGACCATTTTTCCGATCAACCTGTAGAATATGGTAGGAGGCCAAGGGCCCCATTGTGCCCGTGAAGCAACTCAGACTCAGTTTGTGAATAGCCCTGAATTCACGGGTTGTGATCTCATCTTCTGTAATATGCAGGAATTTTAAATAGATTTTTAAACCTTTTATTTGGAATAATATTAAACTTACGGAAAAGTTTTAAGATACAAAGAGCTCCCATATATACCCTCATCCAGATTCCCCAACTGTTACCTATTTGCTTTATCTTTTTCGTCTCCCCACCTTACACACACACACACACACACACACACACACACACACACGCTATCCCAAAAAGTTCAGTTCATCTTGGAGGCATAAATGCAGCCTTCTTAAAAGTTATTTATTTAGTTTGGGAAATTTTGAATAATAAATATTTAAATTTTTGTTTTCCTCATTTTTACCCTTTTCAATTGGAGAAACAATCTCTGGGGATTTTTAAAATAATGATCATGTTGTTAGGGAAGAAAAAAATAATGCTTTTTTAGACACAAGAATTTTGAGCCCAGCGAGGCCGGCTAGCTTCCCTCCCTGGTCGGTCACAGACACGGGCTAGCATGGTGGGAGCTTCGGGGTGCTTTGAGCAGGCTGGGAGCTCCTGGGCTGTGGGCATTTCCTTCTTAACAGAGCACTGCAGGTGGCTGTGTTTGGCTTGGATCTGGGAGCTGTTATAGCGCCTCATCCGTGCGCATCCATTTCTGCAGGCTGCCTTCTCCCTGCTACTTCCTGCTGCCTTCCTTCCACCCTGCTTCCGCCCCGCCAGCCATCTCTGCTGAGGGCCACAGGGGGGCCTGGGGCTTGTGACAGCAGATGACGTGGGGCTTGCTGACGGACTTCGTAATGGGTTTATATTACTTAGAAATGTGGGTCACAGGAAGCTTAGCCGGGCTCCTCCAGGGAAGGTGGTCATGTGTCTCTCCAGTCATAGTCACTGGCTGCAGGCACAGTCTGAGTAAGAGTGACTCGGGGACAGAGGCTCCTAAATCAAAATTGGCGGGTTTTCCTTTACCCCGGCAGCAAAGTCAGACCTTAGAGCTGGGTCAGGAACCTCTGGGGAAAGTTGGGGATAGGAGTAATGACTTCTGGCCCCCTCTCGAGGATATCCCTGCAAGGAAAGCTTTCAGGAAGATAGCCTTGTCTGGGAATATGGGCTGGGATTGCTTTCTGTGACCATGTGGTTGGCCCTGCCAGCACTGCCTTCTTCTGGCCTTTTGGAAGCTCTGTAGCTGTGTCAGCCCCATACATAAGGGAGGTCTAGTGTTATGACAGCCATGTGAAAAAGACGGGGTTACCTGGACTGTGGCTTGGTTGCCAAAAGAGCATATATATGCTTTGATTATATTAATAGAGGTATAGAGCTAAGGAAAAGGGAGGTTCTTCAACTAAACCCTTCTGTGTTCAGAACACATATGAAACATTATATTCAATTCTGGATACATTTTAGAGATGAGGGGAGGTATTAGAGAGATCCAAAAAGGTTGCCTTGGAGGTGGTCAGCCTTCCATCATTGAGAGTATTCATGCAGAGACTAGGGAAACCGTGGTCTGTGCTCTTTCTAGTGGCTCCTAAGATGTGTATGTATATCCCAGGCAATGTGTCATGGAGCAGGCGAACTTAAGTTAAAATCCACTAAATGCAACGAGAATGAATAGTCTACTAAGACACATGACAGGTGGGTGATTCTCCCACACATCATGTCGAGGGAAAGAAGGCGGACACCAAAGAGTGCACCCGCCCTGCTTTTCTCTGTAGTAGACAGATGGCAGAGCGGATCCAGAGCGACTGCCAAGCACCCTTGTGGGGTTAGGTGCTGGCAGTGACCGCAAGGGGCGCGAGGGAGGGGTCTGGGTGCTGGCAGAGCTGTGTTCCTTGACATGGGTGCTGGTGACACAGGCGGGTGGGCTGGAGAGAATCCAGTGAACTCTGTGCTTCAGATGTGTGCACTTTTCTGTGCGTGCGTATCCGACTTCAGTAAAATAAAAAAAGGATAGTCTGAAGATTGTGAAATCACGCAAGTGGGCTAGAGGCTCTGGAACTGCACATAGAATTTTTGGAATTTGCACAGACCGAGGTAGATAGAGATAGAGATCCAGATCCAGAGACGGGGCCAGACACCACTCCACCCACTGCCCGGGTATTATGGAGGGGTGAGGGGATTTTCTATTCCTTTAAACTTTCCTGAGCACCCAGTGAGACATATTAGTGACCGCCGATAGGCTAGTTCTGATCGAAGGGTTTGAACTGCTTCCTATGCTGTGCTGCCCTGCAGGGAAGTCTCTTTTTAAGGGACTCTTTCTCTAGCATTCACACCCAGCGTGGCTTTCCCAGCAGGGCTGTGGGGTGGCGCGGGGGTGGTGCGGGGTGCCGTGGGGATGGGCAGCCAGCGTGGCCACTCTCTTTTCCGTGTGTGCAGAGGGCTCCCCTTTCTCCCTCCTGACTGCTCTCTTGTGCTTCCTCCAGCTTTTTGATCACGTGGCTGAGTGCCTGGGAGACTTCATGGAGAAAAGAAAAATCAAGGACAAGAAATTACCTGTGGGATTCACGTTTTCTTTCCCTTGTCGGCAGTCCAAAATAGACGAGGTAAGCACATGCTGGGATTGGCGGGCCCCACAGAGGCCCCAGAGTGGGAAAGACGACGAGCCCTTTTCCTGACTCTTTGTCCCTTTTGCTCACCAGATGGACGGCCTGCATATCTTGTATTTCTCAAGAAACATTTGTAGGAATTAATGTGAGGGCATGTTGTTGTGTTTGTCTTTCAATTACTTAAGTGATTTCCAAATTTCTGGAGATGAGCCATGATGTTTAGGTAGGTGGGGACATTTATGAAACACAAGCAAGTGAAAGCATCGCAAGTGGGTTTGGTGACAGTGGAGAGAGGCGGGCAAGCCTTTTGTCAGGGTTGTGCAATGTGGGGTTTACCTGGAGGCCGTCCTGGGAATGGGGAGTCTGGTCAGGACCCCACTTCTCGGGTGCCCGGGCCACCTCTCCAGAGCTTCTGCCCGCGGGCAGCTCCAGCCCCAGAGAGGCCCTTTTTGACCTTCGGGTGGGTCGTTGTGCCCACGCTGTTGTAGCTCATTGTTCATTCATTCATCTGCTTAGCAGGGAGGGACTCAGACATACCCTGTGGCACCATCGTACCTCAGACTGCAGGGAGACAGAATAAGTAGGTGCAGCTGGTTCCTTTTCTTTTTTTCTTTTTTTTTTAAGATTTTTATTTATTCATCTAACAGATAGAGAGACAGCGAGAGAGGAAACACAAGCAGGAGGAGTGGGAGAGGGAGAAGCAGGCTTCCCGCGGAACAGGGAGCCCGATGTGGGGCTCGATCCCAGGACCCTGGGATCATGACCTGAGCCGAAGGCAGACGCTTAATGACTGAGCCACCCAGGCGCCCCCAGCTGGTTCCTTTTCTACACGAGAGACAGAAAACACACACAGCAAGCAACCTGTGAACAAACTCCTCATAATAGGGACCCTGAGAGTTCACGTTACCGAGGGTCCCTCGGGTGCCAGGCTCTGTCCTAAGGCGCACTCTGCAATGAACACGGTATCTTCCAACACGCCTGTGCATGAAGTGCTTGTGATTCCCAGGTTACAGATGAGGACACTGAGGCTAGCAGGAGTCAGGAACCTGCCCAGGACCACGCAGCCGGGAAGCAGCAGAGCCCAGATGCGCTCTGGGCAGTTTGGCTCCAGAGCCTGTGCTCCTAACCAGTCTGCTTTCCTACAGGATAGTCACGTTGGTGCACATGGCCCCCTCCACGCTTCTGGGCAGCTCCCTTGTACCTCTTTATCGGCAGGGTAAGCGCCCTGTCCCAGGCACTGCTTCATGCCCCTGGAGCCCGTCCATCTGGGTCATTTGTGTAATCACATCATGTTGGAGCAAGAGGGGGCTTGAGAGCTCAGTAGGCCAAGCCCCTCATTCCCCAGATGGAGAACCAGGCCTCCTGAGGTCACAGGGCTCATTAACGGCGGATCTAGGACCAGAATCCCATATGCTCCCATCGCCCTTCCTCCCTCCTCTCCCCCCATTGAAGACCTCTGAGACACTGCGGTCCCCCTGTCCCCATCAGGACTGCCGTGGCCCGTCCAGACTCTCTGGTGTCTGGCATTGCGACACCTCCAAGATGTTCGGATCACTTTGGCCTCCACGGTGTCTTCCCGAACCTTTCTCAAAGCCTGTTCTTGGTACTAAGTTTCCCTTGGCTTCTGAGAGTGGAGACATGACAGTCATGTCCCCCCGGGCAGAGAGGTGGGGGTGGCCTGGGAGTGAAGTGACTGCTTGACCTAGCTCTGTCGTCAGTGACCCCTGCCCGGGTGCTATCCCCTTGCAGCCGGGCTAGACCCTGGGAGAGGACAGGGAGTAGATGGGGCTGCCCCACAGAAGCTGTGATCTTCCAGGGAGGAAGGCATTGCGGAAGGGGGAGAGAATGTCCTCAGAGGCAGGAGAGCCCCCAGGGCAGGGCAGATATGTCTGCTAGAGGGGCTTTGTGGGCAGAGGGGCTAGAGGCACCCCCCCCGCCACAGGCCTTGACCCCCCCTTCCAGGGAGGGCTTCCTGGGGCGGGCCGCACTGCCTGCTGGGAAGCCGGTGGACCATAGACTAATTACCCATCTGGTGGGGGGTTGCCCAGGCCCACTCTTCAAGGCTACCTGGAACCTTCAGGATCGTCCAAGTCTAGATCAGCTGCCTTATTCCACAGACGAGCAAAGTGACCCTCAGAGGAATCTGGGGAGCTGCCCACAAGGAAGTGGGCAGAGGTGTGAGAATGGGACTGGCCTCCTGATTTCCAGCTCCACATTCTTTCCACAGCATACTCTCTGAGGCTTTTGGGGGTTGGGGTAGAGGGGAAGAAAACAGTGTCCAGGGGCTTCTGGAATGCCTGGCTTAGGAACAGGCTGCTGCTGAGCAAAGAACCACAAAGTCTCCCGTGCACTCCTCCTTCTGTGCATCTCACGGGGCTGTGCGGTTTTCACCGTGAGCGGGGGCAGGCTGTGTGCGGGCAAGTGCCCCATCCCTGTGGCACCCCCAGAGGCCCACGGGGCCCGAATGAGAGCTCTGCCCTGTCCTGCCGCATGTGTGGCAACCTTGTCCATTCAGAGAAAAAACAGTCAAGTATAACAATTATTTTTTTTGAGTATCTTTGATTAAAAAAACCCACAAAAGCAATATGTAAAGCTATTTATTTAGATAATATAAAGATGTAAAGCAAAGAGTAAAATTTCTACCCTTCCCGATTCCCAAGTGAGTGACCATTGGCTGTCTAGCCTTTTTGATGTTTCTCCATTAATCCACAAACAGAAACGAGCCCTATTGTATAAATAGTGGAGTTGCTGCTTACAAATGGGAGTTAAAAGTTGGGGAAGAGGCGTAACTCATATTTAGTCAGTATTATCCTTAAATCTCTAGCACCTGGCTTTAGAAGTTCAGCGGCCAAGAATTGCCTTGGCATTTTGTCTCTCTTCCCCATTTGGCTCTGCCTGTCTTCCCTCGGGGTTGTGGGAGCTGGGCTCTGGCTCGCCAGTGGGGAGGGGTGGTCAGGTAATAACGGGGATTTCTCCTGTTCTCTTTTTACTTGAAGTCTGGCTGTGCAGTTGACATCCAGGTAGATTTGCACGCTGGGTGACGCCACTGTCCTGGCCAGCCACCGGCTGGATTCTAGTGTGAGCCGCACAGTTTTTTCCATGGCAGCGCCCAGAGAAATCCGTCCTGCAGACGGATAGACAGGAGATGGGACGGAGTCTGGCTCTGAGGTTACCCAGTGTGATCTGGAGGGAGCCGCCTGTCCTCTCTGGGCCTCTGCTTGGTCACTGCCCTTGAGCAGCCTCCCCAGGGACCTGGGGGTTCTGCAGGTCTCCCAGCCCTTGTCCAACCCCCATCTGCTCTCCTTTGCAGGGCATCCTGATCACCTGGACAAAGAAATTTAAAGCGAGTGGAGTGGAGGGAATGGATGTGGTGAAGCTGCTTAACAAAGCCATCAAAAAGCGCGGGGTAACTTTTCTCGGGGCCACCTGTCCCTGCTGCGTGGAGGTGGGGCGGTGTGGGGAGGAGGCTGGGGTCTGAACCAGACTGAGGCCCTTCCTGGGGGCGGTAGTGCATGGCCGGCGGCATCACACGGGGTGTCTTGAAGACCTAGGCCGATGACCGGGGAGGGCCCACAGCCCAGAAGGTCAGGGTGGTTCAAAGCAGGGTTGTTAGAAGCGCTGCCCGGAGGGCCGAGGCCTGGGGCGGGGGCTGCCTCCTTCTGACAGGAGCTCTGGGCTGTGCGGGGGCAGCTGACGCAGGCAGGTGCAGCCTGCGTGGTTGGAACAAGGGCCGTCAGCACAGGGCTGGAGTGCGTGGTTTGCGGAGGGCTGTGGCTCCGGGCGTGAAATCCATTCGGAAAAGAATCCTGAGCCAGATAGTGAAGGTGACCGTGCAGTTTCCATAATGTAATCGCTGCTCTCTAATCCAGCTGATCTGAGGGCCAGCAGTAACGAGAGCAGCACCCCCCACCCCCGGCTCTGAACACGGGGGCTCGCTGGCCATGCCCTCCGTGACCTCTGCTCCCATGTGAGAGTGGGCGGTGACACGCCCATTCTGTGTCCCCAGGACTACGATGCCAACATTGTGGCCGTGGTGAATGACACGGTGGGGACCATGATGACCTGTGGCTATGATGACCAGCAGTGTGAAGTCGGCCTCATCATCGGTAACATCACCCCTTTCCTCATGCCCGCCCTCAGCCAGTGTTTCCAGAAGGCGCAGGCAGCCTCCTCTCAGGGTTTGGTGCGGTCGCAGCTTCTGAACTGGTCTCTCTCTCCAAGGCACTGGCACCAATGCCTGCTACATGGAGGAACTGAGGCACATTGACCTGGTGGAAGGCGATGAGGGGAGGATGTGCATCAACACAGAATGGGGGGCCTTCGGGGACGACGGGTCGCTGGAAGACATCCGCACTGAGTTCGACCGGGAGATAGACCGTGGCTCTCTCAACCCTGGGAAGCAGCTGTGAGTCCCACTTTTCTGACCAGTCGTGTGCATGACTTTGGGGATACTTAGCCAAAGATGTGGGGTTGAGATGAGAGGGGCAGAAAGGGAGGTGATCACAAAGCGAGAAGCCCATCAAATTTGCACGATCCGCCACTCCTTTGGATAGATTCACGGCTGTGGTGTCTGCAGCTTTAAAAGCAGGTTTTAAATGATTTTCTCTTTGTCAAATTATGCTATAATTGTGTCCTGGTAAAAAATATGAAGATGAAGAGTGCAGAAGCATTAGTATAGAGCTAGGGTTTCAAAACCCTCGTGCATTGCATTCAAAACCCACTAGCATTGCCGCTGGGTGCGGAGCGAGGCCACGTAGGAGGCAGGGTGGCTGGCGAGTAGGGAGAGGGAGTGTCCTGAGAGCTCTGTGCCTGGCTCCGAGGATACAGAGGAGCCCCTTCCGGTCTGGCACTTAGAGCTAGTTGGGGAGGAATGTCCCACGTGTGAACGTCTGTCATGCAGAGGAGTGGGTGTAAACCTTTCGAGCCCAGAGAATGGAGAAACTTCTCCCATGTTATGTATGGGCAGATGGGTCAGAGTTGATAAAGAGCATCAGACTTATTGGGCAGGTTATTTTTGGCCTTGGTGAGCTCCTGGCTACAGAGGTATGAGTGACATTATTCAGGGCAGTGTGGGCATTTCTTGATTTGAGCTACTTAGTTCCTGAAGCGCATGCTCCTATTTCTCTATGATGCCGGTGGGCTGCTAGCTCTCTCTGATTGCCCTCCCAACAGCTTCATCCTGGGGTTGGATGCTGTCGATGTGCTGAGAGATGTTCATTGACCCTGTTGGCTTAATAGTCCTTATCTTGTGCCAGGGAGACATGGGAGTTCATCTGTCATTTTGAAACCCATCACCCAAAGATCTCCATATCCCGGGCTCGATGATTGGGCTTTCCACCACCCGAGTAAATGGAATTGCATAAATGGCCAGCCTCCCTCCACCGAGAATGGTGGTGGTGAATAAACTGGGTTCCTCAGTAAGAGAATGTCAAGTTCTTAGACTCAGAGTTGAACATCTGCTTTGCATCCTGAGACTGGGGTACCAGCTTGAGATAAAGGAGGCCAATTCCAAAGCTCTGACAGCCAAAGGTTTTTTTTTTCCCCCCAATCCATTCACCTAACTTGCAGTACTAAAACCTGACCCCACCTGACATGAAACTATTTACCGTGCCTACTCATACGGTTCACTGGAGAGCTACGGATGTGCTTGATTTTACTGCTGTTTCAGGTACCTCTGGGGATATTCTGTAATATGTGCATATGCATCATATTGCATCTCTAAAATCCTCACATTTCCACATTCCCAAGCATATGTGACCGCAGGGGTTTCAGATAAGAGATTAGGTACCTGTCGTGACTGTCAGTCACTTAATGAGAAGGGCAGGTAACTGCCTCCTCAGTGGAGCAGGGCCAGTTACCTGTGATGACTGAGCAGATAGGACCCAGGCCCTTGTCTGTATCCTTTGCCCCAGTGTGGGGATCCCCCGTGGCTTGGATGGAAACCTGGATTTCTCTGCCATCCGTTTTGAAGTATTTCTGAATTTTCTAAAGGGCTGAACTATATCCCTAGGCTGAACTGTGAACCGGGCTCACAGTTGCCTTGCAATAAACACTTTTGGAGTGGTGGCTGGATGGATGCATGGAGAGAGATGGATGGATGGATAGACAGTGGATAGGGAGGGGGGATGTGATGGAGAGGTGGATGGGTGGATGGGGATGGATAGATGAAGGATGGGGGAGATGGGGAGATGGATGGATGGATGAATGGGGGATGGAGGATGAATGGATGGAGGATGTGGGGTTGGGGGACGGATGGATGGACAGAGGTTGGGGGGATGGAGCATGAATGGATGGGGGCTTGGGGATGGATGGATGGATGGATGGATGGTGGATGGGAGGTGGCTGGATGGCTAGCAGATGGGTGGGTAAATAAATAGGGGAATGCGTGAAAGAGTGAAGGGTGAGGTGAAGTTCGTCTTCTCTAGTATGTTTCCCTGTGAACTGATCACCAGAGGTCAGGTCTTGTTAAGAACAATGCTGAAGGGCGCCTGGGTGGCTCAGTCGTTAAGCGTCTGCCTTCGGCTCAGGTCATGATCCCAGGGTCCTGGGATCAAGTCCCACATCGGGCTCCCTGCTCAGCGGGAAGCCTGCTTCTCCCTCTCCCACTCCCCCTGCTTGTGTTCCTGTTCTCGCTGTCTCTCTCTGTCATATAAATAAATAAAATCTTAAAAAAAAAAAAGAACAATGCTGAAAAGGTGACAAATTCTTGAGTTACATCACATATTCCTGGAAATAGGCTATTGGTCAGAGAGTTTTTTTGTCAAAGCAAATTTTTGCTATTCTCCTAGGCTCCTTGCCTAAGCTTTTGGAGATTCCCTGTGTCGTCTTCTGTGCAATGCTAAGTTCTTCAAAGCCATTTTGTCCCCCTTGTCAGGGAGGGGTGTTAGCTCCATTTGACTGGTGGGGAAATTAAGGCACTGGGATAGGACAAGCTGACCCAAGACTCTTTGTTGAGCTTTGATCTGGTTTAGGTTTAGGGTTTTCTGCCCCACTTGAAAGTTTGAGTTTTTAGAATGAGCTTTTAGAATGTCTAAGAGTCACCTCTTATCATTTATGGACAAATATTTATCAAGAAGGGTCTGGAGGAGTGGCTTTTCATCCCTGATTGCATATCAGAATTGCATAAAGGCCTTTTAAAAACATATTGCTGCCCAGGCACCCCTCGCCCTACCCACCTCCCTCGCAGTTCTGACTCTAAGTGGGCCTGGGCTGGGACCTGTCCTCGGGAGCCTAAGACCTCCCCAGGTGATTACAGTTTGTGGCCAGGGTTGAAAATGTAGGTGTGTGGGATTTGCACAAAGGCCCTTGGTACCCAGATGGGCTACACACCCACTCATTCGTTTTGTCTGGAGTTTGCGTGCGGTCACCCCGGGCCGACTATATCCGGTTGCCAGGAAGGGCATGAGCACGGTAGCTCTGTGGCCCCTGCCTTCACTGGTGACTGCCGCTTTCAGGATAGCAGGGAACAGCTCCCGAGTATTCAGCAACGCCAGCCCAGCCCAGAGTTAGGAGCTCGCTCTCTAAAAGGGATCAGATACTCAGCTTCCTCCCTACTGTCCTTATATTCTAGGCCTTTGAAATTCTGGTCACATACCCAGATCCTATTCTAGATTTGAGTCCCATCTTCTTTCATTTTTAATTCTCTTTCTCCTCCCCTCTTGTCTCCTTCTGCTTCTTGATCTTCTTTATCTATGTCGTGTCTGGACTTTTGAATCCTATTGCCCTGTGTGATTCCTTATCACATCCTTCAAAATGCAGGGAGACACTTGCCTCACAAAACAGCAGTAGCAGTGACTAGGACAGCAGGATGGTTCAACCTGGAGAGGTCTTCGGCCTGAATGGTGGTGAAGTCCGTCCCCAAACATCTGTTCTTCCCATTGCTCTGCCCACTCTGCAGAACCTCTGCCTACTGCTGATCCCGCTTAGCACGGCCTCAGACCTCTCCCACTTCTCTGTCCCCGGGCTGCCGGTCCGAGCACACCCTGGCTGCCAGGGGCATTCCCAACTGGCATTCAGGTCCTCGCTCCCCTTGTCTGAACATGACCCCCACCCCGCCCCTCCCAGCCTGTCCCCAGGCCCCGTGGGTCTCAGCCCTGTCTGTGCCTGCCGGCGGGCACCACAGTGTCACCTGCACATCCGACTGCTGACGGGCAGGTCACCACTTGCTGGGTTCCCAGGAGCAGAGGGAAGTGTGTTGGTGGAGAAGGAGTGTCCATGAGCCTCCGGCTTGGGCTGAGCGAGGTGCATCAGACATGACTTTTTGTCGTTCTGCTGCTCTAATGGGTTCTAGGAAAAGGGGATGGTGGGATCTATGCATGTAAAAGACGTCGTGTGGAAAAGGGAGATCATTTTGAGTGCCTCCAGAGGGCAAAGTGAGAAGCAGTGGGTAGAAGGTGCCAGGAGGCTGATCTTAGCTCCTGCTAAGGGGAAGAAGCTTTCCTGTTGTCACATCACCCAGTGGGGGCCGGCTGCCTCGGGAGGAAGTGAGCTGATGACGGCAGCCAGAGACAGGGTCGGGGTGGGGCCAGGTGGCTGCTAGCATGACAGTAAGATCTCGCATTTAATGGCGGTGCCCACGCGAGAGGGAGAGTGGCACAGGGCTTGGAGCACGGCCTCTGGGGCTTAATTGGTTCCACATGTGCATTTGCTGCCTATTAGCTCCGTGACCACAGGCAAGTGATATAACCTCTCTGAGCCTCAGTTTCCTCATCTGTGAAATGGGGAGAATGATATTGTCCACCTCATAAGGCTGTAATGAGGATGGAGTAAGTTAGCACGTGAAGTGCTCAGTAAAGCGTGAGATGCAGAGCAAGGCCACATACTCATGACGAGCTGAGATCGTAGCGCGTCACCCCTGTGAACCCATATTCTCCGCACAGTAACCTTATCAGCAGGCCCTGCCGTTCTCCCCGTTACCCAGGTGAGGAAACCAGGGAGCAAGGAGCACGGCAAGGGCAGAGCCGGCATGGAGCCCAGACAGGCTGGCTTCTGTACCTGCTGTGAGATTCCGGCTCGGGGCTACACAGAGGCTGTTCCCACAGGTCCTTGGGGTGGTGGCTGAGTGGCTGGGACTCAGAGAGGCACTCTTCTGCCAGGGATCCCCGACACAGTTGTGGCTGGGTCGATTGTGTCTGGTCCTGTCAGGAGCGGGAACAAGGAGAACCGTGTTTTTCTGTGCCCATGTTGGGGCAAGGGAGGGGCCAGGTGCTCAGGTCCCAGCAGCAGCCTTGGCTCCTGGGCCTGGCTCTGAATGGAACAGGTTGTTCTGCTGTGTCACGGGCAGCTCTGGGGTTCCAGCTGGGCTCCTGGATGAGGGCCTGCTGCTTTGATCTGTCCCCCTCGGGGCTCCCTCCTGGCCCCTGCTCAGCCAGCATGCGGGGCCTGAATCTGGCTCAGAGGGGGCACGGAGCCCTGGTTCGTGGTCGCCTCTCTCCTGCAGCGTTGGCCTCAAACTGGCTGCTGCGGTTCCAGAGCCCACGCCTCCCCGGGAGGCTAGAGAGAGGAGGCGCTCGGGGATTTGGCCTGCGCCTGCACATGAGCTACTCAGAGCCCTCCCCTGGGATTGAGGGTGAAGTCAGTAGGGGAGGAGTGGGCTCCCCAAAGCAAATTCTTGGTCGTTTTGGCCAGAGAAGGAGAACATGGATGCCTGGGAGGTGGCCAGCGACGGGGGTCCCATGGGGAATGGCTGTGTTTCAGCCCCATCATCTACTCCAAGAAGGCATTCCTCCAAGAAGGCATTTACCCTTTGTGAGCTGGGAAATGGAGAGAATACTTCCCAGCCACCTCCTCTCGCAGGACTCGGGGACCTCCCTGCTGAAGGGATGGATAGGAAAGCCTCTTAAAAAAGCATAGTGTAGTGTCTTGTAAGAAATGATCATATTCTGCATTTCTGTCTGGGGGCCTCCTCGTCATCCCCAGTCTCACCTCCAGGCAGCCTTCCCTGCCTGCCCCTGTGCCCAAGGTGCTTACCTCCTTTGCCCACCCGGCGATGGGTGTGGGGTCTGGAGGAGATGCCCTCTCCCCCATTGCTGTCTCCTCATCATTTAGTGGCACAGGTGTGTGTGGTTTTGCCTGCCGGTGAGACCATGAGCTTGGGAGGACAAGGCGGTGCCTTCTTCTCCCTTCTGCCTGTCTGTCTGTCTTACTCCTCATGAGCTGCCCCAGGGGTACGCACGTAGGAAGGACCTGACAAGTGCCACCCGCTTTTCTCCTGCAGGTTTGAGAAGATGGTCAGTGGCATGTACTTGGGAGAGCTGGTGCGACTGATCCTGGTCAAGATGGCCAAGGAGAGCCTCTTATTTGAAGGGCGGATCACCCCGGAGCTGCTCACCCGGGGGAAGTTCAAGACCAGCGATGTGTCAGCCATTGAGAAGTAGGTGCTGTCCCTCGGGGCTTTCTCTTTTCCTTCACTCCACCCCCCACCCCTGCCTGCCCACGCACACAGGGGAGATTAGAGTCCAGGGAGCCGATGATTCTAGCGGTGAACGAGGAGCTCACTGAGCCTGGGGCCTGGGCTCGGAAGCCCCCTGGGACATATGAGGACCTTCTCCAGACTCTGTTCCAGGGACCCCTGGTGACCTCATGATAATGGGGTGTTCCCTGAAGAAAGGGTTCTGTGGCTAACAGGATTGGGAAATATTGCATATTTATTCTCCATTGAGAGATTTATAGTATTCATTACCATATTAAAGAAAACCCAGTTCACTTTGGTTAGCTTATAATTTCCCAAACTCCTTTTTTTTTTCCCTAGAGAGAGAGAGAGAGAGCACGCAAACGAGAGCATGTATGTGAGCAGGGGGTGGCGGGGATGAGGCAGAGAATCCCGAGCAGCCAAGCAGGCTCCATGTCCAGTGTGTAGCCTGACTCGAGGCTCAGTCCCACGACCCTGACATCATGGCCTGAGCAGAAATCAAGAGTTGGACGCTTAACTGACTGAGCCACCCAGATACTCCAGTTTCCCAAACTTCTTTGGTGCCTGGAATGCCCTCCCCACTGCCTGCCCCCCATTCTCTCACCTGTTAACAGCCAGATGTGTTCCTTGGCACAAGTTTGAGAAACGTTGGTTAACAGCTGAGACAGGGCAGATAGACAGGGGAGGACGGTCCAGCCAGCTATCTGACTGCTGCCTTCCGGCCTCACCATGAGAAACCCAGACTTCTCTGGCTCAGCTGTGACTTGCGGGCCTGCACCCTGAGAGGGAAGAGGGTAAACGTGGTCCCAGGGCAGTTTGACATGGTTGGGCGCCTCCGAGTCTGAAGGACTCCCGTCTTGTGGCTGGCCTCCGTGGGCCACCAGGCTCTGTTCCTGGTTCGGAGACATGCAGCCATGCGAGGCCACCTGCCGAAAGATAGGGCTCGCTGGGTGCTAGAGATGTCCTTTCATCTCTGCCCGAAGCTGTCGTTCCCATTGCCCTGCTGTGTGCTGGAGACTCACAACGAGCCGGCGGCTTCCTAGCTTAGGCTCCTGGGAGCAGATGCAGGTCAGCGGGCTGCAGGTGGAGGAGGCGGCTGTGGGAATTGGAAGGGGTTTATGTGGACTCACTCCTCTGTCACATCCCTGGGCATTTACCCTCGGATCACTGTCCTTCAGGAGCTATTGGGGCAGAGCGACTGTCGGCAGGGCGCCATGATACCCAGTTTCCAGCCGTCTCTTTTCTCAAGCCTCCCGGCTCGCTCCTGGGGAGAGAGGGGGCAAGAGCCTCCTGACATGTCTTCACAGTCATTCACAGAGTCAAGAAATGCCTACCTTCCTTTTGGCCTCTTCTGGTTACCAAGAAGCAGAAGGCTGGCCTCTTCTGGTTGGCTCTTTGGTTACCAAGAAGCAAAAGCCCACTTGAACTAGCTCAAGAAAACATATATATTGTCTTAAGGGCTGTCTCAGCGAAACCTGAGCATCCTACCAAGGCAGACGTTCAAAGTGTTCTCTTTAAAATCAGCAGAAAAAAAAAAGAGGAAGTAAAATTATCATTATTTGCAGATGTTAATTGTCTGTGTGAGACACCAGAAATATCTAGAGAAGTGAATAGAATAACGAGAGGTTAGGGAGTTGCCTGGAGATAAGATACAAAAGTCAACTGTATTTCTGTATATTGGCAATAATTAAAATATGTATGCTTTTAAATAAGCCTTTTATTTTAGAATATTTTTAGACTTACAGAAAAATTGCAAAGATGGTACAGAGTGTTCCCTGTGTATCGCTGACTCCATTTTCCCCATTGTTAGTTAACATCTTATGTTACTATGGTACATGAAGGTGAAAAAAAAGGAATATATGTATATATATATATATATATATATATATGAATACACGCCATCTATACTGTACCATCTGTAATAGTAACAAAATCCTGAAGTACTTCGGGATGAATCTAACAAAAGATACACAAAACAGGTATGCAGAAAATTGAAATTTTCCTGGAAAACCTCGAGGAAAGGTGTGTAAGCATCCCAGGAATGCTCACAGACCTCAAGAGCAGGAGATAGGTCTGCGTCTCCGGAGCACGAAGCTCTGGGGTGGAGGCAGCGACGTCTCACCTCCCTTCTCTCCATGTCCCTGGCGTGTCATAACCCAGCCCGGTACAGTTTTTTCTCTTATTCCCTGGTATTTCTTACGGAGGAGACTCCTTCGTGTGTTCTTCTCAGGCACTTGACTGTCTTCATCCCCTGTCATTCACCCGTGGTGAGTGGGTGTGGACTCTGGACCCTCAGTGCTTTGCCCCGCCCAGTGTGGTCCTCAACTCACAGTTACTGGCCTCTAACCTCACAGGAATAAGGAAGGCCTCCACAATGCCAAAGAAATCCTGACCCGCCTGGGAGTGGAGCCATCCGACGACGACTGTATTTCAGTCCAGCACGTGTGTACCATCGTCTCATTTCGCTCTGCCAACCTGGTGGCTGCAACGCTGGGCGCCATCTTGAACCGCCTCCGCGATAACAAGGGCACACCCAGGCTGCGGACCACGGTTGGTGTCGACGGGTCTCTTTACAAGACGCACCCACAGTGAGTCTGCCCTTTGCTGTCGTTGGCACTCAGTGCCCGTCTAGGCTAAGGACTTCCCCCAAAGGTCAGACTGTTGCACCCAGTGGAGGTTTCTGGCGTACGAGACACTACGTGGCTCTGGGCAGAAAGGTCAGAAATGCCCACTTGAGAAGTACCCGACCCTCAGCCAGTTCTCCTGGTGTTGCTTCTGTACTCATTTCCCCCTCATTTCCTAGCTCTTGTTAGAGATTTCTGTGGCTGCCAGGAACACTGGGTGGAATATGTCTGTTTCTTAAATTCTCTTGCTTATTCATATTTCATCAGAGACCTTCATCCTAACTATAGTTTGGGTCCTAGGTGCGACGCCCACATTCTTGTTTTAGAAGCTCCTGTGAAGAGCCCCCCAACCCTCAGACGTGCCTTTTTTTTAAAACAAGGCAGCTTGTTGATGCTTTGCATCTGAGAGCGGGAGGGACATACAAGTTGTCAGTGGTCCCCGTCGGTGATGAGGGGCTCCTTACCATGCTGCCTTCTTGTGTGTCGAACTCCCTAGCTGCAAAAGCCTTTTGTGGTACCGAGAACATGGCTTGTGCAGTTTTAAAGATGAAATTCTGAGTCTTTATATACTATTAACAATAGCTGCCTGTGGTGTGATTTTTTGCACAAGACCTCAGATACTTTGCCGCTCTGTGTACAAAGTGCATGTGAAATGGTCCTGTGGTACCTTCACAGCCAGTTCCAGAGACAGTTAAGTGAATGTTGACTTAAGTGGAAACCATTCTGTTACTGAGCGGGTAGGGTTTGAGCTCATTACATGTCCTTATCTGTTAGGTTCATAGTTTTCTCTCTTTGTATTTTTAAAGTATTTGTAATTTTTTTTTAAGATTTTATTTATTTATTTGAGAGAGAGAGTGAGCACAAGTAGGGGGCAGAGGCGGAGGGAGAAGGAGAAGCAGGCTTCCCGCTGAGCAAGGAGCCCGACATGGGGCTCAATCCCAGGACCCCTGGATCATGACCTGAGCCGAAGGCAGACGCTTAACTGACTGAGCCACCCAGGTGCCCCAGTATTTGTAAAATTTTTGATAATGAAACTGGCTATCTTTTTGAGGGATAGCTGGTTTCTTGGCAAATGTTTAGACAAGAAAGGGATTTGCAACATCACATTAAAAATTTTGTTAATTGTGGTAAAATACACACTATAGAATTTCCTATCCTAACCATTTTTGAGTATACAGTTCAGTGGTGGTAAGCATATTCACGCCGTTGTGCGACCAGTCACCACCAGCCACCCCCTGAACTCTACAAGATCTACAAGATCACATGTCAAACAAATAACTTTGATTAAATGTGTTCTAGTTCAGAAGTCACATGTATTTGGTGTAGGAACTTTAGATAGTTCAAAAAATTACAAAGAGAACAGAAGTGATTTTTCATCCTACCCCCTGGTATTGGTCACTGTTGATATTTTGGGGTTCTGGTTTCCCTGTTTCCTTTGGCAGGCAGCCTTCCATACTGACGACAGACCATAAACTTTGAGGAGGTTCTGTGTCTCACTGAGTCCTAAAGTCCTCTTCTAGCCAATAAAGAATGTCCCGACTCTTGGGGGCGGAAGGAATGGGCAAGTGAAAATAAAAAACAAGAGTGATTATTTATGGAGCTAGTAACCAATCAAAGCAATTGACGGACTTGTTTAGTTCTCACCGCCCCACTCTCTGCCAGGTACTGTCAATCCTCGTGGACTCCAAGGTTAAGTCACAGGCCCAAGGTCACCTGATGGGGGTGGCAGAGCTCGTCCCTGTCTCCTGATCTGTCTCACTTCCAAACGCTGGGCTCCGGACATCACTGTGCTGTTAGCTCTGTGTCATGGTGGAGGACAGAACCCTTTTTGGACCCTGAATTTTCTGTATTTGATACTCACGTCATAATGTGTGTGACTGTGGGCTACTTGCATTTTTCCTTTTTACTTGTCTGCATCTGCCAGCTTTTCTCCAGCGCTCGTGTATGACCTGGGTGACGAGAAAATCAGGTCTAGAACATGGAATTCAGGTGTGGGAAAAGAAAGGGGAATCAGAGCTCCCTGACAGAGGGCTCTAGTCTAACTCTTGTGGCCTGCGCCCCGCCCCCCACCCCAGGTTTTCCCGGCGTTTCCACAAGACCCTGAGGCGCTTGGTGCCCGACTCCGATGTGCGTTTCCTCCTCTCGGAGAGCGGCAGCGGCAAGGGGGCTGCCATGGTCACCGCGGTGGCCTACCGCCTGGCCGAGCAGCACCGACAGATCGAGGAGACCCTGGCCCACTTCCGCCTCACCAAGGACATGCTGCTGGAGGTGAAGAAGAGAATGCGGGCTGAGATGGATATGGGCCTGAGGAAGCAGACGCACGAGAAGGCCGTGGTCAAGATGCTGCCCTCCTTTGTCCGGAGCACTCCAGATGGGACCGGTGAGGGCCTCTGCTGGGGGCTGACACACCCCTCCTGCTTCTCCCACCAGGGACCAAGTGGGGCTGCAGGGAAGTCGCATCTCCCGTGCATGCGTTTATTTTAGCAAGCATTCAAAACCCTCTGCTTTCTGTTTTTACCACTGACTTGCCCCATGTGTGACTAGGGCCCTTGACTTGCCCTGGATCTGGCCTCCCAGGCAAGCAGCATCTCTAAAACCACAGTCCTGCTCTGAATAGAAAGTGTGCTTGAAACAGTGAAAGTGGGCCGGTCCCACAACACTGGGATTGCGGCAGGTTCTCTCACAGATTCACCAGCAGAAGGATAGTTACCCAGTGCGCCCTTCCTAAGTCCTGACATGGTGTGTAGCAAGCGGACAGGGGCCTGGGGCTCCAGGCAGATTGGAGAACAGAATCCAACCCTTAATGCTGACCTTGCTGAGCGCTCTGGAGACGCCGAGGGGCTTCTCTGCTGGGCCCTTAAAATCAGATTTGTGATATGAATTAGGTCCCATGTGTCCGTTACTTATGATCGTTTTATATCCTTGTATTCAAAACCACCCTCAAGCCTAGTGGCTTAAAACAGCAGCCGCCTCTTAATGCTCCTCTGGGCCCGGCTCAGCTGGTCTCTGCTGGACGCATTCACGAGTCTGCAGTCGCTGGTGGGTCAGCTCGGAGGCCCCGCTCACACGTCCAGCAGTCGGCACTCAGCAAGGGTGCAAGGGTGCCTGGCCGTGCGTCTCATCCTCCAGCAGGCCGCCGGGCTCGCCCACTGGTAGCGCCAGGGTCCATGAAAGAGAGGAAGGACTTCAAAGCCTCTTGGAGGCCTAGGCTGGGACAGGCTCAGCTCTGCTTCTGCCACACTCTGTCGGCCAAAGCGAGTCATAAGGCTGGGCTGGAGCCAAGGGGAGGAGAAATAGACTCCATCTTTTGATGGGAAGAACTGCAGAGTCACTTTGCAGAGGAAAAGTACAGGGAAGAGAATGACTGTGCACATTTTTACACACACTCTACACATTGACATAAATGACTAATTTTTGTGAGGGCTTCCCCTAAAATCGGGTCACTGTTGCCACGCTTTTTATAACCCTGGAGAATTTTGTTTGTTTATTGTGACAGGTGGTTCATCCATGGGTCTTTTGTCCTTCTAGTTTGTGCCCACTCTCCCCGAGCCTGAGCAGTGTGCTGGAGGCAGCAGAAGCTGGAGCTTCTCCCCTGTATTTAATATGGGGGCTCGAGGCTTGGGGTTATCGGCTGCCAAGAGGCACTTAGCTGTTTTTGATATTCTTTATGTTCTTGACTCTAATAGAGCATGGTGACTTCTTGGCGCTTGATCTTGGAGGAACAAATTTCCGTGTCCTGCTGGTGAAAATCCGCAGTGGGAAAAAGAGAACGGTGGAAATGCACAACAAGATCTATGCCATTCCCATTGAAATCATGCAGGGCACCGGGGAAGAGGTGAGACAGTTTGGCTTTTCTACCATGATGGCACATGTGTGTCACATGTCCAGTGCCATCGATGGTCCCCCCAAACCTGCCACGGGGTGCACGCAGCTCTGCCATCGTGTCCTTGTGGCCTGAAAGCATCAGGCACCTTAAGCAATGCTGGGCTTCCGATGCTCGGGGGGCTGCAGAGTTCCCGGGGTGGGTACTTGCCTGGCGCGCGCGTGCGTGTGTGTGTATGCGTGGAATCGTGCACTTGTACGCGTGTACTGAAGCAGGAAGCCAGAGAGCACGGGTAATCCCTTCTTTTCTCCTACAGCTATTTGACCACATCGTCTCCTGCATCTCTGACTTCCTGGACTACATGGGGATCAAAGGCCCCAAAATGCCTCTGGGCTTCACGTTCTCATTCCCCTGCAAGCAGACAAGCCTGGATGCGGTAAGTCTCTTTCTTCTAGGCATGGGGCAGGGCTGGCCTTGGGGCTTCCTCCGGCCTCACTTGGCCCCTCGATGTAGGAAACGGCTCACATGTCACAGTGGGTTGACCCAGGCTTTATGTCATGCCCTCCAGTTCGTCTTAAGACGCTTCTCCATTCGTTTTTTATCGCTTCACACACCCACCTCTTCCTGGAAGCCTCCTCATTCCCTGGGCAAAAGTATCTCACCCTCCTCAGTGTTCCCTCTTCTTTTAAATGTTACAGCACTTTTTTCGTAATTATTCGTGATTGTGTCTTCTCTGCTATGTCAGGTGCTCCTTGAGCAAGGGCCTGTGTTCCCCCACCCCCCCCACCATGCCCTAGCACAGAGTTTTATCAGAGGAGATACTTAATAAATGTTCAATAAGTGGAATGAAACAGGGTCGAGGGTCAGGGCTCAAGCACCTGCCAAGTACTAAGTGCAGGGTACAGAGCGGAAGGTGACAGTTCCTGTCCTTAGGAGGCCGACAGTCTAATGGAGGATCCCAGCCTCACACCCGCAGCTCAGCACTGGGCGGAGGGCTATTGGTGGCAGGTGGGGTAGGGGGTACCCCGGCAGAGGGAGCTGATTGTGCAGAGTCATAGAGGCGAGATGGAGCCTGTCATGCTGGAGGAGTCACGAGTGCCTCCTTGTGTCACAGGTGGGGATGTGGCCAGGGAGGGGCCCCGGAGTAGCATCAGATCACACGGAACCTTGGGATTTAAGGCAAATGATGGGCAGCACTAGGGAGGCTAGGTCGGGCCACCTGCTTCTGGAAGCCAGTTAATCAACTCACTGGGCTGACTTGGGGCTTTTTCCTCTTAAGCCCTTTTATATCTCAGCAGTTAGAGCCATATAAACTTGCGTTTTGCAGTTTTTAAAGGTCTGCATTGTTTAAGGAGTTCACTTACACCGTCATCTGTATTCATCGTAGTTGAGTACACACCCAGCAAATGCTCAACTTCATTCAAACCAAAAGTTCACTTTAGGCAGTAACAGTGTTACTAAAAATTTGCATTTCTCCATTTATGTTGTTGGCAGACTGTTCTTTAGGGGAACTAGTTGGTTATACCAGGGGCCCCACCATTATCCTCCTATGCCTCAGTTTCTCCATCTGTGAAATGGGCATTATGGACCAGACTGCCGTGGGGAACGGTTAGGAGGGGGCGGGCCCGTGGAGGGCTCCTTCTCTGTTACTGCTTTGAGCCTCAGATGTTCTAACCTAGTCTCCCTGTAAATTCTCAGCAGATATTTACTCAGGAAGGAGAGAGTGAAATGTTATATTCTCACCAGAAGGGTTGATTACACAGGACTCTCCTGGTGCCTTTGCTCTTTCAGGGAATCTTGATCACCTGGACAAAGGGTTTTAAGGCAACCGACTGCGTGGGGCACGATGTAGCCACATTACTAAGGGAAGCAATAAAAAGGAGAGAGGTAACTATTAAAAGGATGTTTTTAAAAATCTTCACTGTTTGGGAGGTTATAAAAATTGTCCTTGCTGGGTCGTAAAGAATTCAAACAATACAGAAGTGTGCATGACCTGGGTAAGAGGGTTCCCTACACCGTCAGCAGTAAAATGGAGGTGAACAGTTTTGTGTTGTTAAAGGATGGTTTAAGAAAGGTAAAATCAAGACTCCCTGACAGCTTGAAAAAGAGAAAAGCAGCCCCCGGCAGCCAGGCATGGCCTGGCGCTGTCGGCCTTGGTGGCCCCCTCTTGAACATGCAGTGTCACTCTGCAACTGGTGGAATTAGACAAGAAGGAGCCAAGTCTGTACTCCCGTCAGCACTCAGCACACACTCAGGATTGCCCTGCTTCCGGACAGCCTCCAGGCCAGAGCAAGCCCCACTCTGAGCGCCCCCGAAACCCCCAACCCAGGCTCAAATCCTGGAGTGGGTGCTTTCTAACCCGTTCCGAGATGCCCCACAAGATATGTCGCCCATGTGGCACCCAGTCCCTGTTACCAGCTCTGTTTGACTACAGGTGTGTTTCTGGTGGTCTTTGGCTGGAGGACATTGGCAAAATATAAAATGGAAAATTCGAAAGATTTTACTTGACTTATCAATGAGGGAATTAGTTAAAAAAAAAAAAGAAGTTCAAATGCCTCTAGTTCAGAAGAGCAGCCAAATACACAGGCAGTGGGGAAGGCTGACGTGAATGGGTTTTTGAAAGAGGGATTGGTTGCACTCGGCAGAGTATGCGAGGCAACTTACATCCCGTTGGAAAGAAACCCGCTGACCTACTTTTGCCCATGTCCCCACTCTTCGTGTTAGCATTCTTCCAACCTACGTTCTGTGCAGAGACCAAACACACGTACGAACCCGTGTCTTACTTACATCGCCGCTTTTGATCTATATTTGGGTTGTTTCTGGTCCCTGCAAACCATGCATGCAGTAGGTATCTTTGTGTACCTGCATGGCTATTTCAGAAGGACAGATTCTGAGGAGTGGGTTTGGTAGTTCCGTTTTGCCTTCTGGAAGACTGTAACACTCTGAGCTCCTCAGAGAGAGAGCTATTTGGCCACAGTCCCTCGTCTTTTCTCCATTCAACAGTTCCCTCCAGGCTGCCTCTCTGGTACTCGGCATCATCTGTGAAATGGGTAGAATGCTTCCTTTCTTTAGATCTCCAGTGTCAGATACATCATTAATAGTAGGTGGTTAGTCAGTGAAGGAATATTTTACTACCTTTTTAATGGCTGGTAAGGAAACTATTTCAGATGAGGCATCAGGCAGCGCTGTCCCTCCCCTAAAGCTGTGTCCCTTTCTTCCCCAAGGAATTTGACCTGGACGTGGTGGCTGTGGTCAATGACACGGTGGGCACCATGATGACCTGTGCTTACGAGGAGCCTACCTGCGAGGTTGGACTCATCGTAGGTGGGTGTCCTGGAACGTCTGCCTCTTTGGCGTTTTCCTGTTCTGTGGGGCCATGAGCCGGCAGCTCAGTCCTCTGTGAGGGACACTGTATCTGTCCCTATTGTCCCCTTACTGCTTCCAGAGTTTGGACCGAGGTTGCAGAGCTGTCAGGGGACTTTCTGCTCCCCAACACTCACCCCAAGGCTCGTGACCAGCTTGTCAAAACGGAGCTGTCCTGGATGAGGCCCCAGATGGCTCACATGGCTTGGGTGGACAGGGTGGGAGTACCTGGGGCCGGCTTGGCCATCAGGGCAACTACTGGGCTTATAGGGAGGGCCACCAGGCAGGTGTTGAGGGGTGGGAGCCTGCGATTGGGAAGGCAACAGAGCTCTCCTTCTCCCCTGACTGTGGGCAAGGGCCAGAGACTAGTCTTGGGCACCATTTTGCCTCTGGCAGCCACCGTCTCTGAGCAATCCCAGCCACTTCAGTGGGTCGCAGAGAGGTTGGCTCTCGGGTTCCCTTATGGTCCAGACACATGAGGGATCTGGACTTCAGAGCCCGTCATTCCTGAAGCACATCAATCCGGGCTGTGAGAAGACCATTTGTCCCATTGAGCCTGCTCCTGGTGTCAGGATGCTGGGAGAAGGCCCTGTTTCGTGGCCAACCTCTGCAGGCCCTACCTGGATGAGGAGGGCTGGTAGCCCTGCCGGGCAGACCCTTTGCTAAGTGTCTGGGAGATGGGGATAAGGCCCCTGAAGGCGGCCTTCCTGGTGCTCGGGAGACCTTTTCATTTGTGAAGCCATTTTTGGCTCCTGAGGAAATTCTGAAAACTGGGGAGCAGCTGCAAGTGTAAGGTTTTTGGGGCTTGACTCAGGGGCTGTTTTGTTTCTTCCTTTCTTTTGCAAAGCTTTCTGTCCCCACCCAGCCCCTGCACCTCTGCTTATGAATGGGCTTAGGTGTGACATGCAAATCCAGAGTGACAAAGCACATTCCCCACTGGGGCGCTGGGTCTGGCCTTCCTGCCCAGTTCAGGGCCGCCTGATTGAGCCGTTCCTGGCACCTGGCACCAGGTGAAGAGTGAGCGAGTGGGGCGGACATTGTCCCAGCCCCGGCTGCACTCACACCCACTTTCTCCTTCTTCCATCCATCCATCTCTTTGGTCCCAGCGCTCATTGGCAAAAAGTATGATTTCTATGTTTTGGCTTTCTGTGCACCCCTGGCCGTTTCTGGGGCTCCTCTTCTCTCAGTTTCACACTTTGGGGTGAAAGGGAGCTGAGAAAACAAAAACCCCAAACAATCCAGTGACACAGGGAGAAGCGTCTGTGAATTCTATGGAAGTTTCTTTTTTTTTTTTTTTTTTCTAAAGATTTTATTTATTTATTTGAGAGAGAGAATGAGAGAGAGAGAGCATGAGAGGGGGGAGGGTCAGAGGGAGAAGCAGACTCCCTGCCAAGCAGGGAGCCCGACGCGGGACTCGATCCCGGGACTCCAGGATCATGACCTGAGCCGAAGGCAGTCGCTTAACCAACTGAGCCACCCAGGCACCCTGGAAGTTTCTTTAAAGGGAACGAAAACAAGCCCTTTTGATCAGGCCAGTGGGGATTGCCTTGTGTCCCCCAAGGGGGCTGAAAGTCCGCCTACATCCCACCGAGGCTGGGCTGGTGGTGCTCTGGGGCCTGGTTACGCGGAGTGTAACCAGCGTGTTAGAAATGTGGAGTCTCAGGCCCCACCCCCGATCTTCCAAATCAGAATCTGCATCTTTTTTTTTTTTTAAAGATTTTATTTATTTATTTGAGAGAGAGAATGAGATAGAGAGAGCATGAGAGGGGGGAGGGTCAGAGGGAGAAGCAGACTCCCCACTGAGCAGGGAGCCCGATGTGGGACTGGAGCCCGATGCGGGACTCAATCCCGGGTCTCCAGGATCATGACCTGAGCCGAAGGCAGTCGCTTAACCAACTGAGCCACCCAGGCGCCCCAGAATCTGCATCTTAATAAGCTCCCCAGGTGACTGGGGTGCAGATTAAAATATCTGGGCGAAGTATTCCTTGGTTGGTTAGTTGGTTGGTTTTACATTTTCTAGTCCACTCACTGAGACAAGGCCGACGACCATGGGCTTGGATGTCATGGCGACAGAAACTGCTGTGAATGTTTTATACACTTCCTCTCAGTTTCTGTACTCAGCTCCTCAGGGACGAGAACAGCAAACCGTTGGTGGTTCCACCCCAGTCCCTGCGGGGCCACAGCCTGGGCAGTTCAGGGATGGAGAGCCCAGGCTCCTGAGCCTCTGGGAACTGTATGTCAGACTGTGCGTGTGCAGTGTGTGCATCCAAGGAGAATCATCAGGTTTTCAAAGAGGGCTGTGACATCAAAATGACGAGGCACCATCACCTTTGGAAAGGCGCCACTGACATGCTGGGGACACGGGCCTTCCCTGAACTAGCTGTGGGCTTCATTCTGAAACACATGGGAGAGTGGACTGGGCCGGCATAGTCCATGACCATGTTTGATCCGTAAAGATAAGTGGACATCCATGGTGTGATGGTAGACGACCCCCCAGTGTAGTATTTTATAGATACGCGCGTGTGTGTACAGTTGTGTATATACGTGTGTGTGTGTGTGTGTGTGTGTGTAGAGAGAGAGAGAGAGAGAAATATCCCTCCAATCTGAATATTGCCTAAACTTTTGCCATTGAAGACATATCTCTTTGTTGTCAGACCGTCTTCTATAAAAATAAACAGAGCCCTGCCTGGGCAGGTACACACTCGAGGCTCTCGATATTGACATCCTGGTATAAAGTAAGTGAATCAGGTGCTCTCTGGGTAGTTTAACTCTGACTCTCCTTTTCTGTTTCGAGGTTTTCCTGGGAAACAGTAGGAAAGCAAAGCTGTTGCTTTATTCATCTCAGAAATGTACCCCCTCTCTGTGGAGTCCCCGGCCCCAGGCCCTCCCCGCAACCCCAGGCCCCATGGCTCGGCCGTTCATTGCCCTCCTCGTGTGTTGCAGGGACCGGCAGCAATGCCTGCTACATGGAAGAAATGAAGAATGTCGAGATGCTGGAGGGGAATGACGGGCGCATGTGCATCAACATGGAGTGGGGTGCCTTTGGGGACAACGGGTGTCTAGATGATATCAGAACAATCTATGACAGACTGGTGGATGAATATTCTCTAAACGCTGGGAAGCAAAGGTAACCGCTTGGTGGAGGAGGACACATGCGGGAGCCAGGACGGTGAGGGTGGAAGGCTGTGTTCTGCCTGTTAAAGCAGAAGAAGTTTCTAGTAGGAGTGGAGTCTGGACAGAGGCTTAGAGACTAGCCCCTCAGATTCCCTCCTGACCTTTGCTTTTGGTTCAAGGAGAGCAGAGAGCCAGGAGGATGGTACGCGTGGGCCAGGTTGATGTCCTGGCCAGGTGCTCCTCTGCCGGGAGTCTGCCCAGAGGACAGGGTGGCAGCGGCCACACCACTTCCCGCAGTGACCGTGTTCATTCTGGAACATTCTGGTCTCCAGTGCTCTGTACTTCTTCCTCGTCAGACTAATAGAAGCCTTTGGTCAGCAGGTTTTTGTTTTGTTTGGTGGAAGTAAAGTGCACTTGACCTGCAGCTGTCAAAGGGCACGGTGAATTAGGATGTGGCCAGTGGGGGCTTCTCTTCGTCGTTCCCCAGCCTCCTGCACCGCCTCATGGCTGGTGGGAGCCTGGGTCCCAGACATCCTGCCTGAGATGGCAGTGTCTGTCCTCCCTGCAGACAGACCGAGGACTCCTTGTCTCGGGCTCCCAGGACGCAGGTCATCCTCTGCCATTGCCGGGATGGGTTTGTCCGAGCCATGTCCCCAGGAGCAGGAAGAAGCAGTGGGGGGGATGGCACCTCCCAAATAAGACTTGTTTCCCAGCCGCCCTCAAGATTTTTGCCTTTTCTAGAGACACCTGCGCTGTTATTTACTTAATGGTTTTCTTTAAGTCAGCTTCTATTTTTCACTTAAATTTAACAAGGGAGAAAAAAGGGGAAACCAGTATTATCGTAAATAGATGATAATCATAAAATGACATAGCGAAGATCAGTGTCACTCAATTCTAGCTTCTATTGCCTACCATAGACCCCCTTGGTTGGCAGGGAGGTAGCAGGTGGTGGAGGGGGTTAGAGCCCCTTCAGCACCGCACTCAGCTGGTGTCCTTCACGGTGTGAGAGGGACTGGATGAGGACTGATAATAATAGTGCAGTCTCATGGGTTTTTTCTGTGGCGCGCCTGACATCCTCTGGAGTGTCCAGTGGACTCTTCCCAGCCTGGGGACACTGGGACTTGAGCATGGCGAGGGCAGGAGTCAGAAGGCCCAGAACAGGTTGTCCTCCAGAGCACGGCAGCCGCCCGAACCCTCCAGCCTGGGTGGCTTCCTCCCTGTGCTGGGGGCTTGACCAGCACTCTGGGCTTTTTCAAAACCTTCCAGAAATCTAGTGGGAATTTTGCCCTCCTTGTCTTCTTGTCCCTTTAAGACTCAGACCGGTTGTTTGCTTATTATGCAGATATTTATTGAGCATTTGACTGAGAGCCTAGCGCTGGGCTGTGCAGACCCTGGGCCTCAAAGCTGAGCAGGACACTGGTTCCAGTCTCTCCAGGCTTCTGCTGGAGAGGCAGCATGCCTCTGGGCCTTGTGACGGGGAAGGGAGGGTGTATGGAAGCCTGAGACAGGCAGATAGAACTCGGTCGCGGGGAGGACAGGCCTCTTGGAGGAGAGTTTTGAGCTGAGAGCCGAGTGGGGTTCTGCCGGGCAGTGGCAGGAGGGAGATGGTCCAGCAGTTAGATGTGAGTGCTGGTGATTTCGGTTCTGATCCTGGGGAGGGTTGAGGATCTCTTAGCCCTTCCTGGCCTCCCTCTGCCTCTGCTGAGGGGCACAGGGCTGGGTGTGCAGGCTGGTGATGCCTCCGCGGGGCTACTGGGAGACCAAAGGCTTCACATAGACACCAGCCCCTGCTCTTGGTTCAGGTTTGAGAAGATGATTAGCGGTATGTACCTGGGTGAGATCGTCCGCAACATCTTGATCGACTTCACCAAGAAGGGGTTCCTCTTCCGAGGGCAGATCTCTGAGACACTGAAAACCCGGGGCATCTTTCAGACAAAATATCTTTCCCAGATTGAGAGGTGAGTGATGAGGGGCGTCCCTGCAGGTCTGTTAGAGGTCTGTGTGGCCAGGGGAGGTCGTGATGGGTGGGGAGGCACCTCACGGGACGTTGTCATTTGTGAGGGTGTTTCTTTTTTTTTTTTTAAAGATTTTATTTATTTATTTGACAGAGAGAGACACAGCGAGAGAGGGAACACAAGCAGGGGGAGTAGGAGAGGGAGAAGCAGGCTTCCTGCCGGGTAGGGAGCCTGACGCGGGGCTCAATCCCAGGACCCTGGGATCGTGACCTGAGCCGAAGGCAGACGCTTAACGACTGAGCCACCCAGGCACCCCTGTGAGGGTGTTTCTAACCCTCTGGAGTAGTAGGCCCTGAGCAGCTACATACGGAAATCATATAATTTTATTATAAAAGATTTTCCTTTTCTTCATGCTTTATGTTGGAGCATTATGTATATTTGGAAGTCAGGTGTATGGACTCCATTTCAGGATAAAGGTGCATCACGGATACCTGTGTTGAAGGGCGCTGAGTCCACTAGAGCCAAGAGCCACAGGTCTGGTCCCACCTGCACTCATCTGAAAGGCAGCCTGGGATCGGGCTGTTTGGTCACCCAGGAAGTGTGCCCCACGGCAAGTGGCTTTGCCTTCCTCCCGTTTTCTTGTGTGCGGTGATTGCTTCCTCCCTGGACAAAGGCCTTTGCCCTCTTCCTTGGTGAGCTGTGAGAGGAGGTGCAGCGTGCTCTGCCAAAGCAAAAGCCACCTTGTTTTTAGAATGGTCGTAAAAGCTGGGGCGCCTGGCTGGCTCAGCACGCAGCTCCTGATCTCAGGGTTGTGGGTTCGAGCCCCAGGCTGGGTGTAGAGGTTACTTGAAGAAAAATAATGTCTTTAAAAGGAAATAAATTTATACAAATAAATGTTGATTTGGAGGAAGGAAGCCCCCACAACCCCACTCGTGGTAAGTACGGTGGTTTGGGCCGGTCCCCCGGCGTCGGCTCCCAGGCTGCTCTGCAGGGCCCCGCTTCATCCAGCCTTCTGGCTTTTGTCCACCGCAGTGACCGGTTAGCGCTGCTCCAGGTGCGGGCCATCCTGCAGCAGCTGGGCCTGAACAGCACCTGTGACGATAGCATCCTGGTCAAGACCGTGTGCGGGGTGGTGTCCAAGAGGGCTGCGCAGCTGTGCGGTGCGGGCATGGCCGCCGTGGTGGACAAGATCCGCGAGAACAGAGGGCTGGACCGCCTCAACGTGACTGTGGGCGTGGATGGAACACTCTACAAGCTCCATCCGCAGTGAGTGGGGCTTCTGCTTGCGTGGGCAGGGCGTCCTGGGCTGCCGAGGCCCCTTGATGGGTTATGGGACAGCAGGAAGTGAGTCGCACCAGGAGAATTCCTCACCGGGACCCAGCTGACCCAAAGGCTGTGCGTTTGGGGCCTGGGCCTTCTCTGGGACCAGGTGATGAGCTGCTTCGAAGTTCAGCTGAGATCCTTGGAGAGGAGTGGCTTCACTTGGTTCAGCTCACACCAGTGGCGTAGATGTCCCTCTCCCCATTCCTCCTGGGGCCCCCTTAGGTCAGGCAGAGTCTGAGGGAAGGGCGACTGTGGCCTTACTCATCCGCCTGGGTAGCTGCAGCCCGGCCAGGAGGCTGTGTCTGGTAAGTGGGGAGAGGGAGTGAAGGACGGAGGGAGGAGGACACCTTGTCTTGTTCACCTGCTCAGTTTCTCAAGAGGCTTGCAAGGTAGGAAGAGGGATGGGGAGTGGGCTCCTTATGGTCAAGGGTCTGACACTCGGTGCTGAAGGAGGATATTCGGCCCCACCTGCCCTTTGATCGGCCACATATCCCAAAGCTTAGCCCTTATGAATAGAGTGACCCTATTACTTATTGTCTAAACTGGGATGGTTTTGCCAGTGAAGAGACTGCACTAATAATTACACTGGGACCATCCCTGGTAAACTGGGCCATAATGTCACTCTCCTTAAAAGCAGCCTCACCCACATCAGCGTAGGCATTCGCTGCTTACCTCACGGCCGTGGCTGCAGAGGAGCCAAGTGCCCTGCTCCATCTGCACCTGTCCCCCACCTCCGTAGCTGTCCCCTTCGTCACCAGGGGCAGCACACTGCCGTGGCTCAGAGCTAGGTCTTGGAGGCATACACACTTACCTAATCCCCGCACCGTCATTTGGAAGCTGTGCTCAAGTGCTCAGCTGCCAAGTGTCCTCGTCCTCAGGGGCTGATGGCCACGGGCAGGACTGGAAGGTAGCATAGAAGGTGTGGGGCAGGCCCTGGCAGGGGTGCCACAGCGGGCGGGTGGTGTCACCTCCATTGCCCTGAGCTGCGTCAGCCTGGCCCTGTGTCCCCGTCAGCACATGGTGTGGGAACCTAGAGTCACCTGTCAGTGAGAGATTCTCTCTCACCGGGGGCCTGCCGCTCTTGGCCTCGGAGGCCAGGTGTTGGGCCGTGGCTGGGGATGGGCTGGGGATCTCAGGGGGCCAGGCCCTGGTCCCCTAATCGGTATCTGGTCCCCCAGACGCCTCGGGCTTGGGGGATGAGTGTGTCTGTGCGTTATTCCTGCCCTCGTCCCGATAAGCCGTCCAGTCACATCTGTTTGGATTCTCGGCTGTTTCTCCATGCTGAAAACTGGGGTCGTAGAATCGGCGGCAGATCCGGTGTCCCCGCAACCCTTCCCAAGAAGCCCCTCCCGTCTTGCTTATCCTCTGTCGTTAGGGTCCTGCGGCGTCCTCGCGCGGGCCCAGCATCTCTTCTCATCTTCTCCACTGACCCTCCTCCTCCGTGTGTTGTTCTTTCTCAGCTTCTCCGGAATCATGTACCAAACCGTGAAGGAACTGTCCCCAAAATGTAACGTGTCCTTCCTCCTGTCCGAAGACGGGAGCGGCAAGGGCGCTGCCCTCATCACGGCAGTGGGCGTCCGGCTCCGGGAAGAGGCGAGCAGCTAGGGGTACTGGCCCCCCGGCCCGCTGCCCCCCAGCACGCGTCTCTGCGGGCGGCCACCCCCGTCCCTCCCAGCGAGCTGGGCCGGGAGCCGCCCGCGCCAGAGCCCGCCTCCGCCGCAGCGGGAGGGGCCGCGAGCCAACTCCCGGCGCATAACGTAGGGTACAAAATAGAGCGTGTGCTGTTGATAATCTCTCCCCACTCCGGCCCCTCCTCGCCTGCCCTGCCGCTCTGCATGATCCGATTTCAACCTGGTCGTCCGCTCCCCACGTGTGAAGTGTAGTGGCGCCCATTTCCAGTTTCTGCATTCGTCCGACAGAGTTATTTATTGGCCCGAGATGAAAAGTCACGCCATCTGACAGGCCTTAGGGGCCTCCGCAGCCCGTCCTTGGGGACCCATACCCCGTGTGAAATGTATTATCACCAGCAGACACTGCCGGGACTCCTCCTCCCAGGGGCATCTTAGCGGCTTCCTCCCGTCCCAGCCCCCACTGCTGTCTGGCGTCCCGAGGTTCCCATCGAGACGTGTCCGTGCCACTGAATCGTGTGTCCGTGGAACTGGTCAGAGCCACGTTGTGACAGTCTTGCCTTCTGTCTGTCTTGGGGGTGGGGGGAGGTGGGCAGTTCTGTGGGAAAATGTCTTGTCTCCATTTGGGTAAAAGGAACGAAACCAACAAACAGTGCCCTCGTTGGAATTCCCCATTGCTTTTGTGAGCCACGTTGTATGACCTAGTAAACTTTGTACCAATTCAAAGACCCCGAGTTGATGCTTGTTGGCTGGAGAAGGTGGGAGGCCATGCCCTGGGGATCCTGGGGGGTGGGGGGAGAGTGCTTCAGCCCCCAGCCTTCGTTTAGTAGCGTCACTTCTCTGTTCTCTGCAGTGTCACCGAGCTAGCCTCTGTCCTTGTTTTCCAGCACCGGCCTGGCCAGCTCCCTGCCACAGCCCCAGGGTCTCAACCCCGCACCGTTAGGAAGGCAAAGCAGTGGAAGGCCTCTGGGCTCCCACGGACTGTTTGGGTTTAATGAGAGGACAGTGCACATTGGCTTTCCCCACCGCCGTCCCCAGGTAGACCCCGCCCTTCATCACTGTCTGCCAACTCCAAGGGAACAGAGGGTGTAGACCCTGCTCTAACACGGATGACATCTTGCTGCAGCCCCGGGAGCAGGTTGCCTGCACGGTCCTCCTCTCCCCTTTGAAAAGAATCCCTTCTGTAGGAAACCGCTCCTCACCTGACCCTTTCATCCCTGCCCCACCTCAACCCTGAGGCTGCTGATTCACCCCATGGCCCGCCAGTGGGTACCACATCAGCCCGCCTCTCGTGCCCTGGGCGGGTTAAGGCCGGAGCCCCTTTATTGGGCACCATGATCTCTGGGGGGATCACACCTAGCATTAAACTCTCTTGCTGTGCTTTTTTTTTTTTTTAATTTTTATAAGATTTTATTTATTTATTTGACAGAGAGAGACACAGCGAGAGAGGGAACACAAGCAGGGAGAGTGGGAGAGGGAGAAGCAGGCTTCCCGCGGAGCAGGGAGCCCAATGTGGGGCTCGATCCCAGGACCCTGGGATCATGACCCGAGCCGAAGGCAGACGCCCCTCTTGCCGTACATTTATAGTGTCACGTGGTTCTTCTGGAGGGGCAAATGGGGCGCACGGTGAGGTGGCGGTGAGGGTGAGGCGGCGGTCAGGGAGAAGGGTGTCCTTGCGGTGCACCGGGCCAGGCCCAGAGCTCTCCGGGAGTCGAGATGCTTGGCGTTCCCTGCCCGCCCCCTGCCCGCTGCCAGAGTGAGCGTGACCCCCGCTGCTCGTGTCCTGGAGGCGTCCGCATAACACGGCTGGCTTGGCGGGGATAAGAATCATGCCTACTGGTTATTCAGCCCTTGACGCTAGTTTAGAGGCCTCACTTCAGTCTTCCTCCCAGCATCCCTGTGAGGCAGTTTTGTCACTGGGAGAAGAAGAGGCGGAGGGTAAGAGGGACTTGTCCGAGGCAATGCAGCCGCGGCTCCTTTTGACTCTTACCCACGGTGGGCACTGAGCTGGGTCTGAGTTAGATGCCGAAGCACAGAAGCCCGGGGTCGACTCACAGGTGATGGGCTTTGCAAAATAAGAAGCTCCCTCCCTGTGTCTTTAGCCTGATAATAAATCAGTACCATGGTTGGGTGCTGTCCCCAGGTGTGTTCTGTTTGGTCTAACCAATATTTATAAAAATGTGAGCCAAATGGAACAAGTCTGGAAGTCTCACAAATTTGGATTTCTGGCGTGTCTTGAAAGATCCATAAGATCTGACAATGGTGGGCACCCATTAACTCATGACATTTGTCCAGAGCTGGTCAGCTGCTGTCCCCTTTGCATGCGTACGCCCTCCTCTTCCCCCCGTTGCCTGTTACCCCAACGCTGGAAGGCACTCATCAGGTTGTATGCCCCAGGAAGCCATCCCTGTTTGTGACTCCTGGATGAGATAAGTGTTAGCTCACACTCTCTTCTTGGACTCTTGTTGCTGTGAAGCCCTGTCAGAGGGGCGGCTGGGCCCTCTTAGAGTTAGCATCCACTTGCAGAGCTCCTGGCCCCATCTTGTTTTTCCATTGATGTACTGAAGCCTGGGGCATGGGTCAAACTTCTAGATCTGGACCTCTCAACTGGCTACTCCTCCAAGGGTGCCAGGCACAAGGCTTCAGGGTTCAGTAGGTACCCCATCTTGGGGACCCCTGGCCTGCCCATTGGTAGCCTGAGAGGGGGCAGTATCCCCAGCCATGAAAGAAGTCTCTTTAGTGTGACACCTGTTGACCCTCCTAGAAAGGGATGGAGTGTGAGTCAGCCCAATCTTATCTTCCTCAGTCGGTGTGACCCACGGGCAGCAAGGGAAAGCAAGCCGGAATCCAGAGCGAAACCTAGGAGACGGAGGGTCACCTTGAGCAGAGGGGTGAGGGGAACAGTCCGGGAACTGCCCCCACCTCCAGGAGCTGATCTCCCCTCCAAAGGAAAGTCGTCCTCTTACCCCTGTCTGTCACTGTTCACTGTTCCTGAGTGGATTTGAGTTTTGGAAACGCCCAGAAGGAATCTGGAGCTAAATCTAGTGATTGAAGTGGGTGATTAAGCCTAATTAGACCATTTGTTATTACAGACAGAAAGAAACCAAATACAACTAAAGAAATAACAGATTTTCTTGTTTGGCTTGTTAACTGGCTTCTAAAGGAATATTCTAGAGGAGTCTTAAGAAGTTTGGGCTTTGGCAGTATTGGGCAGAGTAAGGATGCTCTCCCAAGGGGGAGCTGCTCTGAAAGAAGTCATGCACAGAGAACTACTACATTTTGGTATATTTGCTTAAAAAGTAGCTCTCCCCATGGCCGGACTAAAGGTAAATTAGAAGGGGAAGCAGACGGCAGTGGAGGAAATGGGCTGTGAGAAAGAGAACACTGGCCTGTCCGAGAGGAGCAGAGATCAAGGGGACCCTGGGTGACAGCCGCTTGTCTGTTCCCAGGAGACGCAGGGTGCCATGTTACAGAAGAGCAGGCCTGACTTCGGTTCCTCACCTTGCAGCTCTACAATATTCGATGGTGTGGCCCAACAAACGCCTCTCCTGTGGGAGCTTCATGGCCTCTGCCCCTCCTGCTCACACTCAGCATGTCCCCCCCCACCCCCCACTCGCCAGCGTCCCCATCTCAGTTCCTGACAACTGGCAAGTCTGTCCTTCCAGCTGCTCAGGCCTGGAACCTTTGAGTCAGCCTTGACTTCTCACACATGTCACCTCCTCTCCGTCAGGTTCTGTTGGCTCTACCTTAGTAATAGTCCGACTCTGACCACATCTCTCCCCCGTCTGAACCCCCTCCCCACCTCTCACCGTCATCTCTGCAACAGCCTCCCCACCCCCTGCCTCTCTGCTTGCCCCGCCGCTGTGGTCCAGTGCCAACACACGGCCAGATGGATTCTTTTAAAAGGGAAGTCAGCGTAGGTGTCTCCCAACTCAGAGCTCCACTGGACTCCTCGTGGCAGAGTCCTGGCCCAAGGCCTTATCATGACCGCAGGACCCTTGCCTTGGCTGTTCCCTCTGCTTGGAGCCTTTCCCCACACAGCTGCAGGGCCCATTCAATCATCTTTGCTCAAAAGAATCCGCAATAAGGCCAAACCTGGCCATGCTATAGAATTGCTACCCCTGTGCCCACTCCTCCCCCTGGCATTTCTGGTCCTCCCGTCCCCAGCTCTGGTTTTCCTTGTTTCCGTAGAACTTACCACCTAATACACTATGTGATTCATCCACTCCTTACACTTGCTTATTGTCTGTCTCCCCACTAGAATGTCAGCTCCCCAAGGAAAGAAACCATTGCTTTTGTTCACTGGGGTACCCCAGGGGCTTGGAACAGGCCGGGTACACGGAGTCACTTGTGAACAGGTTCTGAATGAATGAAGCCTCCTGCCAGGAGCATCAGTCCTGCTTTAGAGCTAAAGGCACCAACTACTGAAGATTCTGAAGTTATTTCAGAAATGAGTAGAGCCTCGGGACTTGCTCAGACCCTCAGGGACTGTGTCACTGGGTAATGGGAGAGTGACCATTGCACACACATGGAGTGCTGGGGGCCCCTCCCTGATTATGACAGTTCCTGAGTCCAAGTTCTCCTAGAAGCTGCACCAAGAGAAAGGTGTGATGTGGGCCAAGGTTACAGGCCTTGGAGATCTATGGTATTCTGGCTCCACTGCTTGCTGTATGAGTTTAGGAGTCTTCCTTTCTGGGGCTCAGTTTCCTCATCTGTAAAATGGGGATGACACCTCCCTTCCTCCTATCATCTACTTCTTACCTCTCAGGAGACAATGGAGGGTTCTGGCACCCATTAAACACTCAAAAAAAAAAAAAAAAATCACAGTTCTCTCACTTCCTCCTGGCCTGCCCCAGGTGGCTGGGATATCTGGGCAACAAGGACCCTAATGGCATCATGAGTGGCCTGGACACGTGGGCAGGCAGGTGATAAAAGGCATGAACACGGAGGCCCACGGCCAACCTTACCCACATGGCTGTCTTGTAGAGACCAGGACTCAGTGTTCACCTCTCATCTTCTCTTACCTGACCCCCCTTTCAGGGTTTTCTGAGGCCTTCCACCTCTCCAGGTGCCCCAGAGCAAACGCCAGCCCCTCTGGGGGACTCTGATTCACCAGAAGTATGGGGTGGGGCAACCAGGTGTGTCTGAGGGAGGAGTGAGAACTTGGTTCCTTCCTGGCTGTCTCTGCCAAGGTCACTCCTCAGCGGCCCCAGAAATCCCCCCTGGCGGCAGGAAATGCCCTCTGATCTCCCCAGGGAGCAGTCTTGGCCCTGGGCGCCCCCAGCTGAGTGCTTCATACTGCTGGGGTTGGAGCGGTCACCTGGCTCAAGGAAACGTCTCATTACGGGAAGCTCTTAAAAGTGTCACGACAGAGGAAGTCCCACCCTCCTTTACTGGCTCCTTCCTTTCTCCCTCTCTGTCCACCCTGCGGCCTCTCTCTGACTCTCCTCCTCCCTCCACCTCTCTGTCCCTCCCTTCTCTCTTCTCCTGGTCCCAGATGTAGCCCCTGAAGAGAGAGCAGGAGCAGATGGACGGGGAGAACTGTGGCCTGGGCAACAGGACAAGGGTTTGGGGAGGAGGAGGGGCTCAAGCCAGGCCACGGCCAGAGGCCTGGCTTGAGGACTGTGCTGTGGGCTCTGTGAGGACAGCAATCCCGTGCGGGGGTGGGAGGCACAGGCTCACACTGTGCAGGGGCCAAGCCAAGGGTTCCTGAGGGCTGAGGAGAGGGCGGCTGGGATGAGGACTCACCTGTGGTTGAGGCAGCAGTAGATGATGGGATTGTACATGGTGGAGCTCATGGCCAGCCAGAAGAGCGCCAGGTACACCTGCTGGATGAACTTGTGGTAGTAGATGTCCTCCTGGAAGCTGCCCAGGATGAAGTAGAAGTGGTAGGGCAGCCAGCAGATGGCAAACGTCACCACCACCAGCACCATGGTCTTCACGAACTGGGCCGGGAGAGGCTCAGGTCACACCTCAGCCTGGAAGCACCACACCCCAATCCTCCAAGGGTGGTGGCAGGGCACCCCTCATGGAAGCCCTCAGCCCCTTGGAGCATAAGCAGCCTTGACTGCTGGGCCTTGCACCTCTGCCCACACTGCTGTTCTTTCTGTCGAGTCCTCACTCCTTGAAGCCCAGCTCGGAGGCCACCTCATCTAGCAGGTGTCCCAGACCCCTTCGTTCAGAGCAGCTCCCCTCCCTGGAGAGCGGGTGAGCTCCTAACCCCATCCTTGGGGGATCCCCTATGCTAACTATGGGTTCTCAGGTGCCCCTCTCCCTGGGATCTGTGTCTGCCATAGCCCTTCTATAACCACAGGTAGTGAGACTCTAGTCGGGCATCCCAGCCTCTGCCCAGGAGCCAGCTCCCTGATCTTCCCCCCTCAAGCCTGATCTCTGCAGGCCCTCCTAAACTGGCCCAGTACCCCACAAGGAATGGAGGGCAAGCCAGCGATGGCAAGTGGAGACCAGCTCTTCACGAGGGACACTCAGACAGTGTCCCATATCTGACTACCTCCCTGAATTGTCCTATGAAAAATGCCCAATAGTAGACCTGAAGCCAAGACAGTGACCTGATACATGATGGGATTAACCATTACCTTCCCTGGACGCCTAACAGGAAGGGCCACGGCAAAGATAAGCTTTGACTAGGAGACAGTGGAGGAGGTCTGAATCATAGAATGCTGTATCAGGACCTTGGGGGGCCCTGAATGGCGGGGAGGAGGGGTGGACACTGGCACTTGGGTTGGAAATTGAAGGCAGACTGGGTGCTGCTGGACTCCAATCCAGTCTCCCTGATCTCGGATTGGAGGTCTGCAGTTCCAGCATTTGAGAATTCTCTTGTGATTCTAAATAGGAGCCTCCCGTAGTAGTTCTGTGGGGCTTCTTAAATTCAACACTCCGATTACTCGGAAAGTCTAAGATTTTGAGAGTCAATCATTCTAAGATTCTTGGGGGTATCTGAAATTCTTTGGGGCTTTAGGATTCTCTGATTCTCAAAACATTTTGGGGGAGTTCCTTTAACTTCGCATTTGGCCAAGGGCCAAAGGCAACTCTGTCGTCTTAGGAAGAATGAACTCGGACTCTGGTCTGGGACTTGGGACAAGTGCAAGTTAGGGTGGATCCGGTCCTCAACGGCGCCGCCGTAGGGGCGGGCTTCGAGCCCGGAAGGGCGGGGCCCGGGGCGGGGCCCGAGCCGACCCCGCCCCCGCCGAGCCCCGTCCCCGGCGCCCACCTTCCTCTTGGCCCGCAGGTGGCGCAGGCTGGCGCAGTGCACCTGGTGCCTGGGAACCTCGCGTCTCCAGAGCGTGAGGCCGATGACACTGTAGGCGAGGAGCATCACCACGAGAGGCAGCACGTAGATGAGGGCGATCACCACGAGGTGGTACCTGGAGGGAAAGCCAAGGGCCTGGGCACGGGACGGCCGGGAGCGACTTCGGCATCCGCCAGCCCTCAGTCCCCCTGGCCCGCGTGCGCTCCTGAGCCAGCTCCGGCCGGCCACCCCGGGCCACCTCCCAAGGCCTTGATTTAACTTAAAGAAAAAAAAAAGGACAACATTGGCTAGCATATATGCCCAAAGAGGGCTTTCCCTGCTGCAAAAGGGATACCCGCTTTATCTCTGCGATCCTCCAGGTGATAGACAAACGCTACCAAAAAAGGAAATAAATAGGAAGGAAAAAGTTAACCAAATAATACATTTGTTTAACATTTAAAATGCCATTAAACACAAAGGAGGAAGTAAAATTACTAATTCCATTCTCACCAATATTCACAATTGGGATATTTTCTTCCTGAGTCATATGGGTGTATATATCTATGTACATATGCATTAGACAGATTACATGTATATATAGTCTGTAGCTGCGTCTGTCTGTCTGGAGAGGTAGATTTTCAGGAGCTGATACGGTTCCGTCCTGCCCCGACATCCCTAGCAGGGAACAGGCCAGTAGTGACAGTACCACACTGTACAAGATACTGATCATCTCTTCCTGCCCATCAGCGCTTGGTTGGGAACGCGGCTCACGTCAGCAGGCTTTCTCTCACCCCACCTTTGAGCAAGCGGCCCAGAACACACTGATGCTCACTCATCTAATCCCCGTGGAGGGCACCCTGGGCTGTGTGGAGCAGTTTCTTTTCCTTCTGGAAAGATGATGTAAAGGAGATGTTCATTCTCCTGAGTGACACTGCAGCTCTTCTCCGACAGGGCCCAGGTGGGGGCACCTCGGGAATGGGCCCGAGACCCGGGGCCCTGGCACATGACCTTTTTCTAGGAGGGGTGAAGTGTTCCCAAGGCCCCCACTCTCATGACCTGTGGGCCAGCCTTGCTGGGCTCCTTTTCGAGAGGTGCTGCCACCCAGAGAGGGGGAGCAGGTGGCTCCAGCAAATGTCTTCCCTAAAGCCTGTGTTTAGAATTCTGCTTGCTCGCTCTTTGAGCAAATAGGCTAATTACAAAAGGTTTGGGGGGATGGGTGCTCCTAGACCCCGGGATCCTCATCCTAGACCCCTGTGTGGTGCAGGTAAGGGCAGGGGGGAACAGCGAATGCCAGGCCCCTCTCACTTTACCTTCACTGTAAGGTCACACACAGAGTGTCTGAGCTCGATAGACCTTGAGAGTCAGCAGGGCTACCTGCCTCAGTGTCTGGAGGGGGAAACTGAGGTTCAGAGAGGTGCAGAAATTCTGTGACATATGAAATAGCTCTAGAGATTTAATCAACACTCAGACGATTTCCCTACCACTGAAGGCCAGCTCTGTGAAGTCAGAACTGAGTTTTTGTTCAGACTCTCCCTTCAAAATGTGACCTCGGGCAAGTGTGACCTCTCCCCTGGTCTCAGTTTCCCCTTTTGTAAAACGAGGAGGTAATCCCTAAGATCCTTCCCAAGTATGAGTGACGTCTCGATTTTGCCTCATTCTTTCCTTGGGACACGGTTCAGGATAGGAGTTCACTCTGGGCTAGGTTCCTACGCTGAAGGGAGCTCCAAGGAGCCCTGGGGATCATCTGGGGTCCACCAAAAATCAGGACTGCCTCCTCCCAGAGTCTGGGCTTTTTAAATGTATTTTGATTTTGGAGGGTCTATGTGCATTTTCCTGGATGCGGCGTCTGTAATCTCATCGGATGCCTACACACCCAGGATGGGAGCCTGTGAGGATGCAGCCCCCAATTTAAATCTCAGTTCCTCTACCAAGAACAAATAACACATTTGCACACATAAACCAGGCTTTCCCCAAATCCTCGTAGAATTCTAGGTCACACCAAAGCATCGTCTTCCTAGCTCACGTCTGCCCTCCTGTTTTCCCTTGGTGCCTGAATCAGGGTTGGAACTCACCATCCCCACAGAGCCGGTGCGGGGTCCCCAGAGTTATTACCGGTCCCCCTCTCAAGGAGAAAGGCCTGTGGTAAGGTGGAGAAACACTGCCCCCCAGTGGTCAGTCCACAAAATAGTCTGCTCTCCACGCCTCCCCGAGCCTTCCCTCCACGGACACTGGCCTTGGAGTCGCGAGACCTTCGGAGCAGGGTGGGGTGCAGAGGGAGGGCAGAGACCGTAGGCAGGGCCCGCCCTCAAAACGCATCCGTCTCCGGGACCGGGCTTCTCAGGCTTCTTCCGTAGCACTGAAGGCCACGGCGAGGCCCCCTTCTGGCCGGTGCTCGGGGCAGATGGAGCCGGTGTGGCGGTGGACGTTGGGGGGAGGGGTGTTTAAGGGGGCGGGGCCGGGGGCGGGGGCTGTGTTGCCAAGGTGACCTGGCAGCCCTGCGCGCAAAGCAGGCACCTCCTCCCGCCTCGGGCCGCTGGGCGTCTGCGGGACGAGATCGGCCTCCTCCAGGTTTGCTCTCCTTTGTCCGCGGCTTAAACTACCGCATATGGGTGCCCGTTCTGGGCCAGGCGCGGCGCTAATGGCTCACAGACGGGTCTCACGCGGGCTCACAGCCCCCCCCCCCCCGCCCCCCGGCAAGTGCTCTAACTAATCCCCATCCGGGAGAGGAGCCAAAGGGTCTAGGAAGGGTCCTCCAGGCTGCAGGAGACAGATTTTGAGAGTCAATCATTCCAAGATTCTTGGGGGTATCTGAAATTCTTTGGGGCTTTAGGATTCTCTGATTCTCAAAACATTTTGGGGGAGTTCCTTCAACTTCGCATTTATTTCCAAAAAAGGAAATAAATAGGAAGGAAAAAGTTAACCAAATAATACATTTGTTTAACATTTAAAATGCCATTAAACACAAAGGAGGAAGTAAAATTACTAAGTCCATTCTCACCAATATTCACAATTGGGATATTTTCTTCCTGAGTCATATGTGTGTATATGATATATCTATGTACATATGCATTAGACAAATTACATATATATATAGTCTGTAGCTGCGTCTGTCTGTCTGGAGACGGGAAGGTAACGGCAAGCCTCCCAAGCCTCAACCAATTCTTTACCCTCTGCTAAACGACCAAGCCGCGCATGGGCATCCGGAAGCCAGCACGTAGCAAACCGAGGCCCGGAAAGGAAAAGGACTTACCCAGGGTCGCACAGTGGCTGGCCCATGTCTGAGTTCTTCTGCCTGGTCCCCCGGCCCACGGCGCCCACTCAGCTTGAGGCAGGCAAAACATCCTAGGCTCTGTCACCTGCCCTTTCCACCTCAATACCCTGACCCTCTGTGGCAGGAGCATGTACAGTGCCCTCCCCCCAACCTCCCCCCGCCCCCCACATTTCCACACACCTGTGTGCACACACTTCCATGAACATGGCCCCGGACTCACACACACACACACGCACACAGACATAAATGGGGGCAGCCTGGCCGCACGGTAGCGCCCTATGCATATCCTCATCTAAGGACATACCCGTCCTGATCTGAGTGCCCGGGTGGCGCGGAAGTGGGGCGCTCTGAAGCGGCGCTGCCCAGATTTAAGCCCTGGCGTTACCGTAACCTACCAGCCGTGGGACCTTGGGCGTATTACTTAGTTTCTAGTCTCTGGTTTCCTCATCTGAGAATGGGAATACTCAGACATGCACGCCCCACGGCGTTAGGAGAATCGAATGGCTTCAGGTGTGTAAAGCCTCTTGGGACGTGCTAAGTGTCCCTTGGTATATGCACGGACTCACGTCATCCCAAACGCCCTCGCGGATGCACGTGCACACCCGTGTGCATACGCACAAGCACGGACATTCTCAGGTGTGTGCACGTGCACACACATGTGTGCGCACACACTCATGCCCCGCACCCCGTGGGCCTTACAGAAGGAGCATCTTGCTGCCGTTGTCTTCGGGCCAGACCACCGCACACTTGGTGGCGCCCTGGTCCGTGGTGACGGCGGAGTAGAAGCACTGGGGGAAGGCGAGGGCCAGGGCCAGCAGCCAGATGCCCACAATCACCGCTCTGGTGTGGGGGGCCGAGAGCCGCGGCCGGAAGGGGTGGACGATGGCCACGTACCTGTGAGCAGAGGGCTGTGTGGGCGGGGGGCACCCTCCCATCAGAGCAACCCCATCCCCTTCTCCCCCACCCTGTCGCCCCATCCCCCCCCACACCCCTCCAACGCTGCTGGGGACCCGCAGAGAGCCACCTGGGCTGGTGACCCTCCCACGGCCGCACAGCACTTTAGCGCCCGAGACCCCAGCGCAGGCCCCCCCTCACTGCCTCCGTCTGACACGAGAGAGTGGCGTGGCCACACTGGAAGTCCACTCAGGACATCTGCCTGAAGCTCAGCCCAGCCGAGCCCCTGGGCCTCTGCCGGCCCCTCTTCTGCTCAGAGACCTTAGCAGAACCTGACAGTCTCCCCGACGGAGGCCAAACCAGCACTGCCCCCCGGCTTTCTGCAGTGGTGGAAACGCTTTCCATATGCCCTGTCCTGTCCAGGAGCCACCAACCACATAGGGCTGTGAACACTGGAAGCATGGCTAATACGACTGGGGAACTGGATTTTCAATTTTAATTAATTTAAATGTAAATAGGCCCATACGGCTCTAGTTACATTGTCAGACAGAGCAGGTCTAAACCTTTAAACGCAGCATTCAAGGCCCTCTGCACATGGCCAACGCACTTTCCAGCCCCCTGTGTCGCTGCTTCCCGCACCTTCCCTGGCTCTCTCTGGTCAAGGAACAGCCCTGCCTGTGGGACCGACCCTCTGTGGGGGCATTTCTTTCCCCTCAGCCTGGAATTTCTCCCGCCATTCTGGATTCGTTGAAGTCCAAGTGAAAGGCCACCTCTTCCAAGAAGTTGGCCAGAAGCATCTTGTCTCCTCAGCTCCCGCCTCTCTCTGGGAACCTGCGGGGATTTGGGCTGCTGTTTGGCAGCCCTGGTGCCTGGTGGCCGAGTATCCCAGGCAAGGGTTGGTCTCTCCATTTCCTGCACCAGCAGACTGAGGCTTGGGAGAGACAGCGCGAGCTCTGAACAACACTGTGTAGCTCCCTCTGCCCCCAGGACGCCCGAAGACACTGTGGGAGTGTCCTGCAGCCTGGTGGGGCTGAGGCCTCATGGGTCAGGGCCCCAACCGAGCGGCAGCGACGGAGAGCTGGGGGTAGCTGCCTCCTTCCAAGGTCAAAGGATCCAAAGAGCTCCATCCACCAACGAAACAGGCCCCCTCCTCGGCCTCCATACAGCTTCTACGGTGCTGTACCACCCGGGGCTTTGGTTGCCGCCTCGGAAGAGGAGGGTCTGGGACTAGATTGGGGGCTCTCTTCGGGTCATGGACCTGTTGCTGGCCATCTGGCAGAGCCCCTGGGCCCTCCTCAGAATATGGTTTTTACAGGAATAAATTACACAAGCTTAGAAAGACAACCAGTTATGCTGAAATACAGTTACCAAAATATGAAATAAGGGCGCCTGGGTGGCTCAGGAGGTTAAGCGTCTGACTCTTGGTTTCGGCTCAGGTCATGATCTCAGGGTCATGAGATCGAGCCTCATGTGGGGGCTCTGTGCTCAGGGCGGAGTCAGCTTCAGATTCTCTCTCCCTCTCCCTCCCGCTCACTCTCTTTCAAATAATTAAAATCTTTATATATATATATATATATATATATATATATATATATATATTTGGGGCATAGCAATACACACACTTATTTATCAACCCGCTAATAAGATCTAGCAGCAGGTCTGGAACCCACGGTAATTTTTAAGTAGTGATGGCTGTCGGCGATACTTGGAGATTTCTGCACAGCAGAGGTACCTGTGATTTCTGTCTGTGACGTTGTCCTGGGCACTGCTGGAGTCCCAGCAAAACGTGGTGTGCTATCTCCATTTGTAATTGTGATTTTTCACCCTCACAGAAGCTCATGACCCCTGGGATTTCTGTGCACAGTTTGTGGTCACAGGTAACGTGCGTCTGGGCTAGATGATTGTTGACCCCCTCCCTCATCTCCCCGAGACACTGACCTTCTCCCATTACTGTGGCTGGGCCCTGGGCCAGCTCCACCCCTCAGCAGCCTGGACCCCGGCTGAGGGTCTCAGTGGGACAAGAGGAGAGGCCACTTTTTTCAGTGGCCCCGTCCCCACAGATGAGGCAGGTGACTAGCGGGTCAACTTGGGGGCTTGGACTCCCTTCCTATTCTAGGAGGTGGGGTGGGAAAGAGGAGAGCTTTTCTTCTTACCCCATTAGCGGAGGGGCAGGTCTGGGACTTTGGATTCATACTGATCTGAATTTGAATCCTGGGGCGCCTGGGTGGCTCAGTCGTTAAGCGTCTGCCTTCGGCTCAGGGCATGATCCCAGGGTCCTGGGATCGAGCCCCGCATCGGGTTCCCTGCTCGGCGGGAGGCCTGCTTCTCCCTCTCCCACTACCCCTGCTTGTGTTCCCTCTCTCGCTATGTCTCTCTCTGTCAAATAAATAAATAAAATTAAAAAAAAAAAAGAAAAAAAGAAAAGCATAGAAATTAAGGGAGTCTGGGTGGCTCAGTTGTTAAGCGTCTGCCTTTGGCTCAGGTTATGATCCCAGAATCCTGGGATCGAGCCCCGCATCGGGCTCCCTGCTTGGTGAGAAGCCTGCTTCTCGCTCTCCCACTCCCCCTGCTTGTGTTCCTGCTCTCACTGTGTCTCTCTCTGTCAAATAAATAAATAAAATCTTTAAAAAAAGTAGAAATTAATTAAATCACAAAGATACTATTGTGAAGTTCAACAAAGCCAAAAGCGTGTCTTTTGCAAAGATTAATACAGTTGTCGAATTGTTGGTGCAATACACTAGAAAGAATGACAGTGATTTGAAAACAGTGTGTAAAAGTGAAAAAGGTAGGGCGCCTGGGTGGCTCAGTCGTTAAGCGTCTGCCTTCAGCTCAGGTCATGATCCCAGGGTCCTGGGATCGAGCCCCGCATCGGGTTCCCTGCTCGGCGGGAGGCCTGCTTCTCCCTCTCCCACTCCCTCTGCTTGTGTTCCCTCTCTCGCTGCGTCTCTCTCTGTCAAATAAATAAATAAAATCTTAAAAAAAAAAACATTTAAATTTGAATCCTGACTTCACTACATTCCAACAGTAGAATCTTGAGCAAACAACCTAAGCCCCTTGAGCTTCTCTTTCCTCTTCTGTAAAGTGGGCCGACAGTCATTTGTGCCCCTGTGGTTGGCCTGGTAAGGCAGTGAGATGCTTGAGAAGTGCCTGCAGGCTGTGGGGGATTAGGGTTTGAAACCCAGTCAGTCCCATGTATTTATTTCCTTTAAATCCACCGGAAGTGGCTTTGGTCCTGGGTGACCCCTGGGCCTTCCTCACTGGGATTGATCCGAGACAAGGCCAGGACAACAGGATGTCCTTGCCCTGCACAGGGGAGTTCACATCTCGGTGCTTGGGGCACAAGGGGGTGCTGACTCCGTGCGCCCTGAGTTTTTCCAGTGTCTCTGTGAGGACCGCCCTCCTTGGGGCTCTTCACACACACCGGGCATGATCCTGCCACGGGCTTTTACTGCCTCGGTGCCCGCTCCCTGGAATGTTCTTCCCCAGAGCTAATGGGGTCCACTCTCTCTCTCCTCTCCTCCTTCCATCTTTGCTGCAAACCCACCCGGCAGAAGGGCCGATCCCACTCCCTGTCTAGCCCTACAACCTGCCTGGCCCCTTGCCCCTCCCTGATATCTTCCCACAGCACTCATGACCTCAAAATACAGCGTACCATTTCTTCATGTGTTTATTATTTAAATTCTCACCAGGGCAAGCGTCTTTATCTGTTTTTCTCCCCCTTGCCCAGAACAGCACACAGGGGGCATGGAACATCGGAATGAAGAAACGAATGGATGAGTTCTCACTGTTGCCACCCCGATCTCTGAGCACCATCCTCTCTCACGTGGATTGTCACTCGGCAGCCTCCTACCTGGTCTCCTGGCTCCCACCCTGTCCTCTCAAGTCCATACGCCCCCCACCTCCACCCCTTTAAAATGGAAGTTCCATGAGGCCTGATTTCAAGGACTATTCTTCCCACTGGTATATATTCCCCAGTGCTTGAAACATCGGGAACACTCAAATATTTGTTGAGTGAATGAAAAGGAAATGTTGGTGGACTTGCAGAAACATCCAGTGGGACTGAGGTGCTTTTGGTGGGGGGAGGTGGTGTGGTCGGATGATGAGGGGCCTGCCCCTTACTGGGAGCAGAGAGGTCTGGGTTCTGGGCCCCTGGCCCTGCCCTTGACTTGCTAGAAATCCTGCTTGTCTCGAGCCTCAGTTGCCCTGGGTATGAAATCAGAAGCGTCGCCTAGACAAATGGTTTTCGAACTTTTCATTTTCAACCAGTAGAAATACAGTTCTCAAATGAAATCTTCAGGAAAACTCCATAGAAATACAGCCCAGAGCAAAGAAGCCAGCTGTAGGTGTTGTTGGGCAATTGAGTGGGGATGGAGACTGGGGGGGAGGGGGACAGTGGGGACAGCAGGTCTCGTGTCGCCTCAAACCATTCTGACAAGGGGTCTGTGTCTCTGAGGGTCCCAGGCCCGTTCCATCTCCCACACGCACCTGATGTCTTTCTGTGTCCCTTTTCGTTTGCTGTCTAAACCAGACTCCCCCAGGGTCACACAGTCCCCTTCTGAGTCCAAACTGTGCCCTGCCTGCCCTAACCAGCTTCAAAAGGACGGCAGATGGCTCCACAATGATCCCTCAGCCCCCTGAGAACAGCGTCGGGAAGATAATTGGACCCATTATAATTATACGGTAACTGCATGTAGTATTAAATTCCTCCCCCCCCATTTCATCTATCGAGGAATAGGAAAACAATATAAGCAATTTCCTTGTAATAAAAGAAAGAAAAGAAGAAAAGAAAAAAAGATCAACTCCAGAGAAGTTCTCCAAACTTCCAGAAGGTCTCCAAACACAGCCGTTCTCTCCCTCCAGCCTTGAACAACCGTCTAGTGCCAAGTTCTCCTTATGTGTAACCTTAACTTGGCCTGCTTTGGTTCCACAGCCCCCCGGTCTTCCAGAGGCCGACTTTTGGATCACAGTCCGGCCGGGAGGAAGTTCCCTGAGATCTGCCCTTAACTTGCTGTGTGATCGCAGGCACATCGCCAGCCCTGTCTGAACCCCAACACAGTGAGGCCGTTTTCCCTGGCCCCCCACAACCCCCCTCTTGCCTGTCAATGGCGATGGCGGTCATGGAGTAGATGCTGACGAACGTGGCCGTGATGGGGAAGAGGTTCTGGAAGTAGCAGAAGGCACGGCCGAAGTACCAGATGTTGTGGCTCGCGTAGACGAAGTTGAAGGTGGCGTTGAAGGCGGCCATGCAGAGGTCAGCCAGGGCCAGGTTGACAATGAAGTAGTTGGTGACTGTGCGCATTCTCTGATGGGCCAGGATGATCCAGATGACCGTGGCATTGCCCGTCACGGCCACCAACACCAGGGCCAGGTACGCGGTGGCCCACAGGGCCAGCTGCCAGCCGGGCATGGAGAAGGCCGTGATGCCCGTGGTGTTGCTATCAAGGCTGGACGAGGTGTTGGCGTCGGTCACAACACCACGGGCCCCCATGGCCGCCTCCGGGTCTGGGACACGTGGCCTGACTCCTCGCTCCTCCGGAGCCCTGGTGCCCTGCCCGGATGTGCTATAGGAAAGAAATCCTCCTGGGTGCAGGAGTATGTGGGGGACAGAGGAGTGGGTGCAAAGCCAGGCACTCAGGGGAGACAGGGGGTCACTCCCAAGTCTCACGTGAAGATGAGGTGGGCTGTGCAGAGCGCCGGGTCCAGAGCCGTTCGCCCTTCAGATTCCCATGTCCTGGCCAGACTTCTCAAATGTCCCATGGAAATCTAGAATCCAAGACACGGTTTCAGAGCAGGAAACATCCTTGCCAATCATCAGTCAAGAGGCTTGCCTGGAGTCACCCAGGCAGTCACAAACCCAGCCCGGCTCCCAAGCGTGTGCTCCTGACCACTTTCCTGCAGAAACGAAGAACAGATTCCAAGAGGGGACGGGCCCAGCCCAGGTCACTCAGTAAGTGGGTGACAAGCCGGGACTCAAACCCAGGTCCCTCCCTCCATTGCGGAAACGTTCTGGATCAGATGTACCCACAGCAGCAGCCTTTGGATTCCACGGGTCAACGGCTCAGCGGGCTTCGCTCCAGGCTTTGGGGTGCAGGCTGGGCTGTGGTCTGGGACAGGCTCACCATTCTGCCAACTGCCAGCCCTTGGAGCCTTCCCTGCGGCTCCCCCAGCGGGGTGGTGAGGGCCTTGGCTGAAGTGCTGCTTGCTCATGAGGTTCAGCTCTAGCTCCCGCCCCTCGTCCCACCCCCTGCTTGGACGGCCCAGCCTTGCCTCTCTTGAGAAAAGGTTTCGGACTGGGTGCCAGGGCCGGAGAGACCCAGGGGGAAGAGGAGGTGGCGGGGGAGGGGGGCTGGCATGGGGCACCGTCCTGGGGTGTGGGGGTGGTGTTTACACTCGGCCAGCACGGGCCGGGGGCTACACCTAGAAAGTGATCAGGAGCACACGCTTGGGAGCCGGGCTGGGTTTGTGACTGCCTGGGTGACTCCAGGCAAGCCTCTTAAGGTTATTGCCCTTTGGCTTTGTCATCTGAACAAAGACAGGACACACATCAGGTGCACATCTCATGGTGTGCCTGTGAGTTTTAAATGAGATAATGCACACAGAGTCTAGTTAGCACGGGGGCTGGCACGGAAGAAGCACGACAGGGAGTTGTAGTCTCAGAGGGCCCCCCCGCACCCCACATGAGACTGCTCAGGGCTCAGCAGGAGGGACAAGACGGAACTCAGAGCGCTTCTGGCGAGTTCTCGGGTGATGCTGCTGCTTCTCCAGGGATCTCAGTCTCTCAGGACAAGGATGGGGCTCACTGCCCCTTCTGTGAACCCCAGAAAGGCCCCAGGGGCTGCTCTGGGTTTGTCCGTGGGCACCTACTCTTGGTCACCCACTCTGTACCTGTGTGCGTGGTGGGGTTACCCCGTGAAGCTGCCGCGCGATGCCGTTTCTGAGCCCCCGTGTGTGGGGGCTGTGTGGACACGCACACACCTGGCGCAGCTGGGCACACCTGTGGGCGGTAGGCTAGGCTTTGTTAGAATAGGAAAAGAACCCTAAGGTCCTTTAGCTCCTCTGGACACACGAAGCCCCCAGTTTGCTCATGGAGGTTTGTGTATGGGAAGGACGTGTGGGGGGAGAGGCTGCCCATGGGTTCTGGCCGATCGGCGGGACTGATGGTGAGCAAGTCGGATTCCGACTTTAGAGGCAGGGTGTTTAGAGGGTGTTAGAGGGCGCTTTGGGAGCCACACCTGGGGAAGGGAGGGGAGGGAATCCGGAGCGCGTGGAGGAGGAGCTGCGCTGAGATTCGATCCCGCTGGGCCGGTTGCTGGGAACTAGAGTGGCCCTTTAGCGTTGCCTTGTGCTGGGCAAAGGTGGCCGGCCAGCAATCGCTGCCCGTAGGCGCCCCAAGAAGACCTTGGACAAGGCAGCTCTCTGCAGCCGAGATGATGTCTGAAGCCGGTCACAGCTGACAGTCTCAGAGAGCAGGCCAGACAGGCTCGCAGGGGGTCTGGGAAGCACAGGACCATGTCCCCGACGGCGGACCAGCAGCCTCTCCCATGACATGGGACGTGTGCTGGTGTGTGCTCCTCGTGCTTCGTGCCCCCTGGCCCCAGGCTGGAGGCTTGAAGGCTAGGGGTGGGAGAGGGATGACTTTCCAGGGTGTCCGGAGGAGAAGGAGAGACGGACAGCTGTGGGGATGAGGCAAGTGGATGGGACAGAAAAGGGGGTTCCAGGAAGCGATGTGGGCTGGACACCCCTTCAGTGTTGGAGAGACGTCACTGGAAGTCATCTGACCAAGTCTTCGGCCTGGAGACTGGGCTGGGCCTTGGCCACCTGGTCACGGCTCCAGCAGATCACATGCAGCATCGCGGGATGTTAGTGGGTCATGCGGGGCATCTAGGCAGCCCGGGGTCACCTGGATGGGGCAGAATGAGGACAGCAATGACAAGGCAGTGAGCTGTTGATTCAGCTAAGTGAATCCGGTTTGCAAGCCCCGCTGTTGTTCTGAGACTAACCCTTCCTGCTTTGGGGCTAAAATGTCCTTTCCTTTATGAAATAATGTGATGGCAGATGGCAGGTGGTAGGCTGACTTTCCTTTTTCTCCAAAATTCCTTACACCATGGAATAAAATCTTGGTGACCTCTACGGTTCCAGCAATTAGGTTTTTGATTTTCTTCTTGGTCCATGAAATTCAAAGAGGATCCCCGATCTAGTTCCTTATTTGGAGGAGAGGCTGGGAGCTCCAAGAGGGGGAAGACTTGCCCCAGACCCCATTGCCTGGGAGCTGGGTCCCCAACTCTGATTGCCTCTGTCTGCGACAGCCTCCACTGGCCTCTCTGCCTCCTCTCTCTCAAGGCCTATGGTCAGCTCCCTGTCACATGGGTGGCCTGGAGTGTGTCTTATGTCCAGGGTCTAGGAGAGTGGCCAGCCCATCCTGGGGCCCTATAAATGTTAGTTGAATGAAAATGATGGATTAAATATAAAATATGACTCAGGGATAAGGGCTGAGGAAGTCTATCTATCTATCATCTATTTATCATCTATCATCTATCTATCATCTATCTATCTATCTATCTATCTATCTATCTATCTATCATCTATCATCTATCATCTATCTATCTATTTATCTATCTATCATCTATCTATCATCTATCATCTATCTATATCTAGCATATACAGACATAGGTATGAAAGCTTTAAATTAATGGGATGAGCACTCATGTGGGCTTTGAGGCAACTTGGAGTGGAGGGGGCAGCGTCATGCTTGGCAATCAGCACCAAGTGGCTGCCCCATAAATGTCAGGTGAATTAATGAATAACGAATACCAAAAAAACGTTTAAAATATCCTTGTGTCAGGGGTGAAGGGAGTAACATTCTTATTTTCACAGGATCTAAACTTTAAACAAAAAGAACATGTCTTCGGAGCTCGGGCAGGGCTTTAGGATTTATTCCTCTTGCATGGCTATCCTTTGTCCATGAAGCAGAGGGGCCCAGGCTGGCCCCTTTAGGAGACGAGCTCTGTCCCTGTTGCTCCCTGGCCTGCACATCGGTGGCCCAGAGTCTGGGACATTCAGCCGGGAGAGGGAGAACTGGCCTCTGCCAAGAGCATGGGCTGGAGCGAGCTGACACTTTTTTTAAACACCGTGAGTGCTGGGGCAGTGGCTTGTTCTGGAAGCCTGCAGTTTATTTAGCCAAGGAAGAGAGACCGCCAGTGTTTACATCTGCTGGGGTCCTGGTGCACACAGAGCTCAGAGGCTCTTAACACAAAACGGGTCCATTTGTCAACATCAGGCTCCAGCAAAATCTGCCCATCTATGGCAGGCAGAGGAGGAAGTAGGTAGGCAAGGCTTGTCCTAGGAGGGCCACCACAATACCCACTTGCTGGTTGGGTAGCAGGCTCCCCCAGAGGCAGGCCTGGGTCTTACAGACGGGGTGCTGGCATGCGCAGCAGCAGTGAGTCCGCATGATGAGGCGAAGAGAGGCGGACCAGGGCTGGGAGCCTCTGGTGAAAGGGCCAAGCCCCGGGCCCTGCGGGTCTCTCGGCCGGGCAGGGGCTCCAATGATCAGCCCAGGGTTAGGAGAAAGGGCCACGTCTCTACCTTCCTGAAGCTCTTGGCCAAGTTGGGGAGCCAAGTCCCAGCAGAACCAGAGCACTCTCCATACGCATCTCTCAAATGGGTGACACCATGAGTGAGCTTCGAGCTTCAGAGAAGGGAGGGAGAGGCCTTTGGGGGTTGCAGGGAGTGAGGGGGTGCTGCTCCTTGAGTGGTCCTTAGAAGTAATGGAGGAGGGGACATGGAATGAACCCCCATCTGGACAGAAAGGCCACACCAGGCTGGCTGGAGCCGAGGGTTCTGACAGAAAGGAGTAGGGGGTAGGTTAAGCATAAATCTCAGTTCATACAGCCAGGGGTGCCAGAAGGATCCCATTTCCTTATTCTCTCATTCTCTAAAACCTCTCTAGAAATCACCTCAACCTTGTTGAGCTGACAGGGAAAGTCAATCTTATTTCTCTCGGGGCCCCCCTGACCGCCCTACCCTGGGGCTCTCCATAGTGCCAAGGCATCTGGGCTGGGGCCTTTGTTGGTCATTCATGCACACATGTCACTCTGGAGAGGTCTCTTCTCCCTGTTTCTGCAGGGTCCTTGACGCCAGGGGACTGTCCCTTCTGATGCATGCCTGCGACCTGAGAATTTGGGGCTTACTGGGGATCGGGTCCAGTGACCCATCCTTGCAGAGTGCACTGCCTCCCCCACCCCGGGGTCATCCCTCCCAGGCCCCCGCCAGGGACAGGGACTGAATGCTCACTTCTCCTGGCCCCACAGTCCTCCCTCCTCCCCGTCCTCTTAAGGAAGTTCTGCTTCTGTAAACACACAGCCCCTTCTTCCAAACCTCACCATGCTTCTCGCTCTTTCATGGTAACTTTGGTAAAGCCTAGAACACCAGGCACCAAAGAGATCATTCTGCTTTCCCCAAGGGCATGGAGACTTTAATCTTCAGATCTTCCTAGGAAGTGAAAAACCTATTGGCAGTTCATCCTTCCAGTGTGACAGAGAAAGGTAAGAAACACTAAAGCTAAGTTTCCGTATTAAGATGATGGGAACATCCATCTCCCTCTCCAGAGATGAGGCTGGAAAGAGTGGAGGTCGCTGGGGGAGAGAGCCTTGAATGTCCTTTCTGGGACATGTTGTCTGCAGTCACCCTACTGGTCCTTCAAGCACCCCTCAAGTGCCACTTTGTTGGGGAAAGAAACACCAGCATGTGCTCTTGGGGCCAAATGGCCATTTTTGGGGTTTTGTTTTGTTTTAAGATTTATTTATTTGTTTTAGAGAGAGAGAGAGCGAGTGAGCATGTGAACAGGAGGCGGGGCGGAGGGAGAGGGAGAGAAGCAGACTCCCGGCTGAGCACAGAGCCTTATGTGGGGCTCCACTCATACTCAGGAGTCGGATGCTCATCCGACTGAGCCATCCAGGTGCCCCTTTTCTTAAACACATTTATGCATGGCATGCCTCATTCTGTGACAGGCTGGCTTGAATCCCACTGGTTTGGGCTCTAAAGGGCAGGGTGTTCCGCGCACAGCTGCCTGCACTCTAGGTCTTAAACGCACACCTTGGCAACGTCAGGGTGCCGGCCTGC